TTATTCTAAGGACTTAAGCTATTAGGATTTTGTGTTTAAAGATCAGCTTAACACTGTTGTCAATTCTCTAGTCATCATCCTGCTATAAACTCGGTTCACAGTGATGCCATGAAGGTTCTGCAGGGTTCTTTTGTTAGTTTTGTGGTGCTGGATAGCAAATCGCCATAGGCTCTGAAGTTTCAAGCTTACATATCTATTAGTTCTGATCATAATGTGACTATTGCCCCATGCTCAGTTCGCTCTCAGCTGTAGGACTAAAACAAGATATTGACCACAGTGTGTTTCATTGAGATTTTGTGATCCTGTTGCAAGCTCACATAACTAATACAGAATTCAGCTCCTTGATATAGCAAGACTGAGGTCCTGATTTTTCTGGGTGTCTGCCAGGAGGGTCTTTCCTCTACTCTTGCAGGTTCACCTAATCTTTGCAATGTGACCCTGCTCATTTGCAAAGTCAGGAAAAGGGACTCTTTATCTTATTGAATTCTTTTATTATATAGTTCTAATATATAGAACTTATTTATAGAATATGACCAATTGAGGAACTCTATTTCTCCCACTCACCCTCAGCATTCTCTAGTTGCCAGTTCTTCGTCTGCAGCTGTGGTTCCATACAACAAGAAGGGAGCGGGCCGCATCCTGCCACCCGGCTAGCTTAAATTCCCAAAATAACCACACAGAAATTATATTAATTCAAACACTACCTGGCCCATTATTTCCAGCCCCTTATTGGCTAGCTCTCACATATTAGTTTAACCCATCTTCATTAATGTGTATTGCCACTTGACTGTGGCTTACCGGTATGAGTCTAACCAGCGTCCGTCTCGAGCAGGAAAACCAAGGCGTCTGCCACACTGCCTTCTTTCTCCCAGAATTCTGTTCTGTCTTCTTTGCCTACCTGAGATCCACCCTATCAACTAGACCAAGGCAATTTCTTTAAAAACCAACGAAAACAACACAAATACAGAAGGACCTCCTACACCAGTTCCGTGAGCTTTTCTATGAACTTTAACTTTGGGGTTAGCATGTCCAATGGTGTTGTCATTGTTTAGGCAGCCATGTTGATGAGACTTCATGGGTGTAGTCTCTTTATAGTTTCTATGAAACACACTCTCACAGAAAACTTCCTGTTTCTCTGGCTTTTAAAAATCTTTCCATACCCACTTTAGCAGTAATACGAGGCTTACATGCAGGAACTGTGTCGCAGATGCATCTCTTGGGACTGGGCATCCATCACACGACTTCTTGTTTTCTGCATTTTTGACCAGCTGTGATTTTCGTGGTGATCGCTGTTGCAAAGAAAGTTTCTTTATTGAGAAGTGAGATCCCTTATTTGTGCACATAAGGATAAATATTAGAATGCTTTCAGGGCTTACACTAGGTTAGTAAAGTGGATTGTAGATTCACCACAAGATCCAGGGCTCCACTAGCCCTGTGTAGTTGGCTAGGCTTCCAGTACCAGGCAGCATTTCCCTCTTTCTGAGCTACATTTAAAGAGCTTTTGTTTACCACCAAGTTATACATGCCCCTATTGTACCCCTAGGATTATTTGCCATGCTGGTTGTTGTAGTGGTTCATGGGTATCAAGGATCGATTGCTTTCCTCCTTTGGAAGCTCGCAAGCACCTTCTAGTACCATGGTAGTTATCCTCAGGGAGGAGGCTTCCAGGCCAGATCCAGCTCAGGTTCTCTAAGTCCTGTGTCTGAAGTTCATAATGTCTTCAGCAATAGGGTCTCACCTTCTGCCTCTGGGAGGTAACCACGTACAACAGCAGTAGCCCATAATGTGGTGGGGAATCTCTTGAACAGCTTTTACCAACAACTCAAAAGGGGTGTTGGTGCTTTTGATACATAGTCTGTGGCCTTTGTGAGAGCATTATCAGGCCGGAAGGGAAATTTCACTCAAAGTATATGTGTATGTATGTTGCAAATGTATTTGAAGAAGAGGAGCGGTCCCTTCACCCCTTTAGCCAGGTCCTTTTTGCAGAAGTGGCATCCTGGGTGTCAGTAACAGGAAGCAAGGGTTAAACACTTTCCGCACCTTCCTCAGTATCATTTCTGTCTTTTTAGTAATAAGTTCATTTTCCTGGGTGTCATCTTCCTGATGAGGAATGGGAGCTTGCGAGCGTGAGGGGCGAGTTGTCAGTCGGGGCTTGGGCGGAATCAAAGTGAATGCCCTTGGAGTATCTTTCCTAATACTGAGATACTGTTCTTAGATCATTTTATGCTTAATTAATTTCCTTAATGCCATAGAAAGTCAGAGCTGAAATGGATCTTAGAGAAGTGCCTAGTCTTTCACTCCCTTTAGGGAGGAAGAGTTAATGGCACCTGACACTCCTGTAAATCAGTAGCTTAATGGACATCTAAGTGGGTTTATATAAAACATTGGAGGTTTTCCCCTAGCATTCTTTTGACAGGCTCTAGCTATATAGTTCAGGCTGGCCTTGAACTCATGATTCTCCTACCTCAACCTATTGAAGTGTACCACCACCATGCCTGGCTCAATTGAGTCAGCTCCATTGATTTTTAAACGTCCAGTTCAGTGACTCAGCATTTCCCGAGCATCACAGATTAGAGAAAGATGACACTTTCGTGTCAGCAACAGGAGCTAGACTCCAGCAGAAATCCAGCAACAGTAGGCATCCTCCCCGCCACCACCCCCCATCCTTACCACCAGGGAACATGCTAACATGTTGGTGTGGTAATGAGGGCAAAGTGTGTGAGGTTTGTATCAACCCCCGGGAGAGTCTTCCATGTTCCGACTGAGACTCTTAGATCGTTCTATTTTTTCCCGTGTATTGCTTTCTTTCTGTCATTGAACTGTCCTCTTTCATTTTTCATTACTTCTTCATAGAATCTTCCAGTCCTTGAGTAGTCACTGACTGTCACAGCAGCTCATTCCCGATTCCTCTTGTGCCAGGCTGCTTGCTTCTTGTGGCCATTCCAGCTTGCTGCCTAACTGCTCGGTGCACAGAGTCACCTTACTTCCCAGGGATCTGCTGAGGTCACAGTTCAGGTCTTCCTTCCGTCCAGCTGGGACTTGCTGTGCTGGGATTTCTCCTCTGCTGGGAGGGCTGTCACTGTTCTCCCAACTTCTTGTCTGTGGCTGGGTTCACTCAGCCATTGCTGATGCTGCTAGATTCTTACTCTGGGCCCTTCCTTTGGTCAGTTCTCTGTTTCGACTTCAAATGTGACAAGTGAAACTGAACCCAGGGTAGTGATTGTCGGTCACATGGTTCTCTCTCATGCATCATTGAGGCTGTGACCTTCTGACAAGTCAGCTTCCCTGTGATCCTGTACTCCATCCTGCAGCACTGACAGACATTTTAATTTAGTGTAGGGTATGGAGATGGCTCAGCAGGTAAAGAAACTGCCAGAGCCAACTACATGAACCCAATCCCTGGGACACATGGTAGAAGGAGAGAATCCAATTCTGAAAGATGTTATTTCCCCCACACACATGCACGTGCGCAGGGAACTGATTAATTAATTACATTACATTTTTAAGAAAATCGGGTTATTTTCACTTGCTGATTTGGAATATGTGTTATCTTCAACAGCAAATATGTTGAATCTACTGTGAATACAGTTAGAACATTAGATTCTGAAACACTGATATCTCCAAGACAGAATTTACAATTTGTTGTTGCATTATGGAGATTAATATAAACATTTTAGCAGTATTTAGTTTGTAAGCTTAGTAAGAAGCACATAACTGTCATTCTGAGTGAAAGCCCATGAACTTCCACATTGACACCAAGGGCAGAAGGGCTACGTGGGGTTGACCTCAGAAGAGTGTCAGTGCTTGCTTAGGACAGAAGCCAGGAGCAAAGGGGCCCTTTAACTAGCACACATCCCCATGCAGGCAACTTTGAAATTCTTCCAGTACGTGTACTTGGCTTCGCTGTGAGAAAAACACACAGATCTCATGCATACAATTCCAGTGTATGAGATTATCAATGGCAGTCAGACGTAACGCTTTAAAACTTCTGAACGGGTGTTATTTGGGGTCTTAGTATGCACCTGAACAGCTTCCTTCATGACCTAAGGTCCCTCCTGTTTATACACAACTGTCCTTTTGAAGTCTGTGGTTTGTGAGTTAAGTCTTCTCTTCGAGAGTCAGTTTGAGAAAAGGCCAGGGACACCTGTGTTTTTCTTAGTCAGCAGAAGGGTCTGGTAGTCCCCAGAGCTCCTTCACCTGGTCTCCCAGTCAGACTTTACAAGAACGTGTTCTGTTCCTCAGTGGTGATTTTGGCACTATGCACACACAGGTATTCAACAAACAAACATACGATAACTGCAGTTCACAGTTCCTGAGCATGTGCCTTAAGCCCTTTACATATTTAATTTTCATTAGTTATAGAAATTGTCCAACAAATAAAGCCTGTGTCATTCAAGCATGGAGGTTTTCAGCCACCGTCTGCCGTCACATAGCTTTGAGTCAGAATTGACTTTCCCACGTGGTAGTGTGGCCAGAGCCCGTTCTCCACTGCCACCTGCCCTTCCGCAGAGCCCAGGACAGGGGAGTGCAGTGATATGTGTCCAAGTCCAGAGCTGGAGCTTCCTAAATAACATGTGTGTTCTATGGGACCGGGTGACTCGATCAGTGGGTAAAGGCCTTGCACCACAAGTGATCCCCAGCATCCACACAGAAGGCCACAGCACAGCACTGGAGACATGGAGCCGGCTCTGCCCCTGGAGCTCAGTGTCCACGACCCAGTGATCCCCAGGTTTGGGAGAGACCCTGACTCAGAGAAGATGGAAAGCTGTTGAGGAAGGCAGCAGACCTTAGCCTTGACTCCACACAATTGCACGTAGGAACTGTGGTTTTTTTGTTAATGTGCGTGTGCGTGTGTGTGTGTGCGCATGCGTGTGTGTGCAAACTATGGCCCACAGGTTTAATTGTTTCTCTCTTCTACTAGAGTAACAAGGATGTGTTTGAGAGCATTAGCACTGAGTATGGTAAACACTAATTATGGTTTTTGTTTTCTTTCTCCACAGCGTCATGGTTTTCTCCAAATGAAAAGATCCTCATTGTTATTTTCCCAATTTTGGCTATACTCCTGTTCTGGGGAAAGTTCGGTATTTTAAGTAAGTATTCAAATGGATTTTTCTCATGTATGCTTTAGTGATGCGATGGTTATTTCTAGGGCATTGACCGTGGAATAATAGTCTATCTGACTAGCCTGCATTGGAAACATGTTGGTATTGTATAAGAATAACCAGTTTATGTACAGTTTTGTTAAAGCGTCTACTGCTTCCCATATTGTGCTACAGCTCGGATTTAAGTTTAAGGTGTTTGGTTCTGAGTGGAGTTTTGAGACCTCTGTGGGAGGGAGGAGTAGAAATGTTGGTTACAACACCTTATGTATTTGGTAAAGAGATGGTCGTAGACTACTTAAGTGTGAAGACAGATTGCTCTGCTCTGGGGCCCTGGGATGCTCTGCCCCATTTCTGCGGTGTAAGCTTGTCTTCTGTAGACAAAAGGCCTGTTTGTGTGCGTTGTACCGCTCTGCAGTCCCGATGGGGGTTGTACTCTGTGATCTTGCTTTGACAGCCACGTAACCAAACCTCTGAAGGCCAAACCTGGTGCTGTGTCTGATCTGCCTCAGTAGCGTAGGATTATTACCACAGGGTAATCTGCTAATGCGTTCTACATCAGGTTTACACTCAGTAGTACCCACATACTATAGCCATTCCATTAGGAATGTTCCAGTCTCTCCTCAGTATCTCCATCCCAATGTAGTCAGAGAGATCAGCTACATTTGTGAAGTTCTGAGGTGATAGACTAAACTTTCAGACCTGTAAGACCTGTACGATCTACTCACCCCCTGTGCCTCCTGACATAGCCACTGAAGACCAGGGAACACCTCTTCTGGTGAGGAGAAAAACGCTGCTCATTAAATTTGCTGTGCAGCCTTTAGAGAGGTCCAGGCTAGTGATGCACTCCAGAGGATGCCTGCTGGGTCGTTCATGAAGTTCTTTCCCAGGAAGGAAGTTCTTTCCCAGGAAGGAAGTTCTTTCCCAGGAAGGAAGTTCTTTCCCAGGAAGGAAGTTCTTTCCCAGGAAGGAAGTTCTTTCCCAGGAAGGGCGAGGCTGTGTGTGTCCTCAGTGAGGTATGAAAACAGATGTGACGTGACGAGCGGTTTATTTGAGGAGCTTTGCCCAGTGCATGGGGCTCTGGAAGTGCTTAGTGACTGCAGAAACGTTCCCAGGTTGTGTGTAAATGGAAAAGAGGAGACCAAGGAGACACCCAAGCCCGTTCCTCCAAGACAGTGAGGTGCTATTGGAAGTTGTCTCAGACTTCCAGAAAGCCTCTTATTGTAAGGAAAGAACTGATGCGGCCTCGGGCCCTGCCCCGTAATCACTGGCATTAAGGAAAGCTTTCAGCCGCATTGGCAGAGCCAGGCAGGCAGGACCGAGTCACGTGACTCAGGGAGAAAACAGCCTTTTAAGGATCAGACAGTGTTTTCACAGCAGTGCTGTTGAAGTTGGGTTGACAGAAGTTTCCTGGTTGTGATGTTATCATTAGCAACACCATTTTCAGTGGAATGGTTCAGAAATGATTCTCTTTATGATCACCCATATTTGTACAGAAGAAAATAAATGATTTCTTTCCTGACTATGGAATGCATTAATAAAGAAGCTATCAAGAAAATAAGCCATCTGTTGACTCTATATCTAGAAGGCTAGAAGGAAGGATTGTTTTGTTTTTTGTGTTTGGTTCTAGTAACCTTCCAGCTTCCCTTTCTGTCTTTCTCTGTTTTTTCCTGTTTTCCTTCTATAAAAGGAAGCTGTAAATGTGCTCATACAGCTTATGTATTTGTGCATCCCCGTGTCCTGATGTCTTCAGAGTGTTGCCATGACTGCTTGTGTTCTCCTGTTACAGCTGGGTCGTGTCCTATTGAACTTTCACCTTAATGGGAATTAGGAGATACTGTGAACCGGATGGAAGTATATGAGCTTTGGGGCGGCAGTGATATTTTAAGCCTACAGATAAATTCCACCACCGTGTGTTCCAGATCCACCCCCTCAATTACTGCTCTCACTGACGAGAATGTCCCCTGTTCATCTCAGGGTCCTGACGGTGTTATTGTACAGTCCCAGAAACCTTTGCTAATTTGATATGTGAAAGAAAACAGAATTGTCAGTGTTGTGTTAGTGAGCTTGGACCTTCTTTTTAATGTTTTTATTATGCCAGTTGCATTTCAAAGAGTATATGTATGAACTTATATTTAAGGGGAATATTTGATTTGGGTCCATCTGAAACAAAGGGGGAGCCTGAAGGAGCATAAGAGTGGGCGTGTGGAAGACAAACCTCTGTATTTGACTCAGCCAGACAGGCCTCACACTTAAAGTTGAGTTGTTATAGTAGCGGCTGAATATTTGTGGAACTCTTGCTCTGAGGAGCGACCACTCACTGTGCCAAGTGCTCTCCACCATTTATTTCCCACAGGGCTTCTGTCAGTGCCCTGACTGTTGCTGTTCCTGTTTTGAAGATAAAAAACAGGCAGTTTGTCCACAGTCACCCAGTGGTTTCTGGGTAAGCCTGGCTTTGGACAGTGCTGTTAGCCACTAGATTGTCTGTTTTGAGTTTATATGCAAGAAGGATGGATGCGTATCTAGTGTACCACTTTGACCTGTGCCACTGTTAGTGCTAGAGCAGAATGTTGGGCTCATGTTGATCGCTCCCACCCCGTCCCGGACCTCCTGGCGGGATGCCTGGTAACTGTGGGGCACTGACCTAAAGGTTTGAGGCGTGGAAGTGAGTGTCCATGTTTGCTGGCTCTGAGGCCACAGCATGCCAGTCAGTGCAAGCAAGATGGTTGCCTGCCTTGTACTTCACCTGAGTCAATCAATCAATCAGTCAATCAGTCCCTTCCACCCTGTAAAAGGCTCCTTGGTTCTCACCTGCTGTCCCACCTGTGAGGTCGTGCGTTAATGGTAACACAGACCCAAAAAATTTCTGTTCTGGTTTTCTGGTTCTTCTTACCTTTGCACCCTGGTCCATACTCGATCACAGGACATGTCTCCTAGTGGTCTCTCTGGCACTGCATGCAAATCTGTTCTGCTGTGAGAAGAAGCCCAAGTCTCAGAAGACAGGGTGGAACCTGAGACTTCTAAGCTGCTTAGTTGTTTTGTTCACAGTAGTAGAAACCGCAAGGCAGATCCCAACCCAGTCAGTCCTGTTGTTCACAGGCTCCTGGCTGATTTTCAGGGTTCTTCATGTACCCAGAGGTAACAAAAGTTCCTACATTCAGCTGGCTGGTGGGTGCCCTCAGGTGCTGCACACGGTGCTGTGGTTCTGCCAGGCTTGAGGCCCAGCTGTTTAGAAAGATCTGGCTGTTGTCTCGGGTTCTCTGTACAGACATATCTCTTCTTTGTTTTCCTTTCCTTTAACCCTTGTCCTAGACAGCTGATCTTTTGCTTTGCACTCAGCTGCGTGACCATGAACCTGACCATGGAAGCTGAGCTCTGCAAAACAGTCTTGATAATAGGAAGGAAAATTACTGTCATGCAGTGGCCTTCAAAACCTGTTGTCAAAACAAGCTGGCTTGGCGGCGCAGTCCTGCGATCCTAGCACTGCAGAGCAAGTACAGACAAAACAGAGCGACGTTGCAAGAACCTGTCTTATGCAAAAGTCCTTGAAAATAGAAAAACTTTCCTAGTTTTTGGAACATGGAAATAATAGTAAAGTTAGTAATTGCTGCATGGCGAGTCAGACGATTAAAAAGTCGGTATTTAAAGTGTCATAGTGAGGTTTGAGTGACGCTTTTGGTGTTGCCCTGTAACGGGAATAGAGCAAGCAAATCATCAGGCTCCCTTCTTAGTACATGTCAGCCTGCAACGTTTCATCTTCGTACTTTCAGTGAAACATCTCAGAGTTCTGTGGTGTAGTTTTTATATGATGTTTTTGTTGTCGTTTCTTGTTTTATTTGTTTGCTTACCAGAGTCCCATCCTCGGGGACATTCTCACTGTTACACGGCCCTTACCTTTTCATTCATGTCCCAGAGTTCACCTTCCCTGAGCTGCTGGGCTGTCTCTTGAGCGGCCTCCACTGTGATAGTGTCACCATCGCCACAGTGGCTCTCCCGGAACTCCGCTATGGTCTGGATGTCACAGCCAGCACTCACACTTGTCATATCCTGCCTCCTCCACATCTCTTGACCAGTTTTCGTTTTTGGTAATGCGTTGTAGAGTGGCCTGTGGGTTTATCACTGGGAGACGGGGAGCGAGAACTACACACTTGGCTGTCTGGGCATGAACTGGAGAAGCAGCATGAGGCGACTGTCAGGACCATTCTTCAGTAGTTGTGGCATGATGATTCTTCTATATATATATATATATTATGTTGTGATTTTTGGATTATAGATATAGCATGAAACATATTTTGGTTACTACTCTCATGTTGCATTTTGGTAATGAATCTTCCACCTGTGTTTGGAGGACTTGAGTTATGTAAGTAAACCATGGAACTGTGTCAGAACTGTGTAAAGTGAGGGCTTCTGGAATTTATTTCTGTGTATTCTAAACATCTTCATTTCCTTTTCTTTCTCATCCCCATTTAAGAATCCCTCGTGGATATTTTGGTTATTACTTAGTGGTATTGGGGCAAGTGTTGCTATGAAGGCCATTGCTGGGAAATTCCAAGAAAACTGTTGTCATTGACAAGAACCTTGAGGTCTCACTAAGTCCCTGGGGCCTAGCTTAATGAAAGCAGCAAGGCCTTGGGAGCACATGGAAAAGAAGTGATGGTACGGGGATTTTTCTCAGTGAATAGGAAAAATAACTCTGAAGAAACGAGGACAAGCACTACGTTCTATTCAAGCAAGAAAACAGAATATCATTCTGATAAATATTATTGCAGAAAGTCAGCCTGTGGCCTGCTCGGTGGCCCTAATCATAAATGCTAAGTGTAATTGTATCCAATAGTGCTGCGCTTGAGCCTTACCCTGTAGTGCTCTTCTGATTCCTCCGCCATGTTGTTCACTAGCTTTACTGGGAGAGCAATCGGGCCAAGCTGTGGCCCAGCATTTTACTCTTATGGGGATGGAGGCACCAGTTCCTTTCTGGTGTCAAACTCCAGACATCACTACTCTTGAATGTACTCTAGAATTCTGGAGCCTTCCATCGAGCCAGAGTAATTTGTCGTCAGTAGTCAGTAGACGTAGACGTCTGCTGGGCATTCCCCTCGGTTGTGCCCTCTGGACAGGGAGTGTGCTCTTTGGTAGTATTCATCCTGGAAAACTTTCTTCCTCAGAGAAGGCGGCTAGGACGTGGACTCTTACAGTCATCTTCCACACGCATAGCCAGTAAAACACTTTGTACTTGGCAGTTAAGTTTTCTCCAGCACCATCTCCACAAGGCCTTCATCTGTGTGTGTGTTTTAAAAATCAAATTTCTCTTTGATTTTTAAAAGTTATCACATGTACTTTATCAGATTATGTTGAAAATAATATTGGTTTAGAGCCCGACAGACGCCAAAGGATTCTAAATTACTCTGACAGAGTTATCAGAATAAAAACACTATAAAAATTGAATTGATGGTTTTATCTCCCTTTATCATTTACTCTCAATCTGATATCAATTCTATCTCAATAGTCTACCTTCTGTCTCTTCACCGTAGTCTTGTGGCTAGGGATTGTCTGAATGTCACGTCTGAGCAAGCGTTGGGTTTTTCTAGGTAGCATACAGTCTGTGTGGGCTTTTGTGGGTATTCTGTATCTCATTTTTAGAGGATCATAAAAGTTTAACATGATAGATTTTATGTTTCAGATCAAATTGGCCTGATTATTTTACGAGGTTTCATCAGCCACAACTCAGATGCCATCTTAATATGAGCTCTGTGTCAGTGGCAGAGACCAGAAACACTGTGTCTGTTCATAACATTAGCTCCTTGTGCAGGTCTCGGGAAGAGCATGCAGCTTCTCTGCTCGCTGGAAGGTTTAGTACACAGGAAACTAAGACTAGGCTAGACCTGTGCTTTCCATGGGTTGTTTGGGTTGGAATCACTCGATTCTTGTCAAATAGAGCTATCCGCTCTTTATTCCTTGATTTGGACTCTTAAAAGGGTATGTTGCAGAGTACACACATGGTAAACATTTGTGAATAAGCCCACCTAACACTTGATAATCTGAAAGAGTCACTAGTTTTATATTACATGTGACGTGAAATTATACAATATATATTTGAATTAGAAGAATACCTAATGTCATGCTTAATACTGTCACATTGTACCAGGCACTGTGGTGCACTCCTGCAATGCCAGCACTTGAGAGACAGGGGCAGGAGGGATGCGGATTCGTAGGATACATTGTGGGTCTGTATCACAAAACAAAATGCCGCCATATGGTTTCCCCCGATGCTTGGTTTTCCTGTATCCAGTAGCAGTAAAGTTAGAAACTTTTTGGTAAAACTGTAAATTCTGGGTGGGGCATGGTAGCACACGCTAATCCCAGACCGGTCTGCAAAGTGAGTCCCAGACCATCCAGGCCTATGTGGTGAGACTCTGTCTCCAAAAACAAAACGAAAGAATGTAAGTGTTTTTATTTCTTGTGTATTGTAAGTATTGGTTTCAGTATTTTAGCTGAGGGGAGTCTTTTAAAGTGTGCACGTTATTAAAATCATGTGGATTATTTTGCTAAGCTATAAAATTATACTACGAAGTTTGATAAAAGCCCTGTTGTTAAGAATATATTAAATTAACCTGGGTGTAGTGGTGCAGGCCTTTAATCTTAGTACTCAGGAGGCAGAGACAGGTGGATCTTAGTGAATGTAAGGCCAGCTTGGTCTACATAGAGAATTCCAGGACAGCCAGGGCTACATAGTGAGACCTTGTCTCAAAAAAGAAAGAAAGGAAGGAAGGAAGGAAGGAAGGAAGGAAGGAAGGAAAGAAGGAAGGAAGGAAGGAAGGAAACCCTAAAATTATTTATTTTCATCCCAAGTGTTCTAGAAATTACTTGCATCTATGTTGTCTTTGTTGTGTCTAATGACTTGATAAATTGGGTAAATAAGGGTAAACCCACTTATTAAGTAACAAGAAGAAATCACCAGCAAAAACCCTTGAAATTGTTGAGTTCTGTGGAATCTCATTGTCGCTGAGGACACTGATAACTGGGCCAGCCAGATACCTTCTCTCCCTGCTGTGGGGCCTGGCTGAATGTAACCATTGTGAGCAAAGAATGTGGGGCAGAAGAGATTCCCTCTGGGTGTTTGCTCAGGAACCCACAGATGTTCTTCCATTGCCTGGGATTACTTAAGGCCCATTAATATATGTGCTTCAGTAGCTGTTTAAGAGCAACATAGGTAGCCTGGAAAATAGGAGCTGAAACGGTCACCACGAACTGAGCCTACCTCCAGCACATAGGTTACTTACAAGACCTTTTGTTGTAATATTTTGTGGTGTTCTATTTTTATTGCTATTGTTGAATTTATTTCCCTTTCAGAAGCTCTGCCTGCTTAGCCTGAACAGGATGGAGTTTATGTGTTGTTCAGACTCTTATTTTTACTTTTAATGACTCTTTTTTTTTTTTTTGTATTAAACCTGGAAGTGTCTCTAATGAATGCTTGATTGATTGTGTGGTACGTTTGAAGCGGCTTTTATGTTGTAACTTTTGCAGACTTTTCATGCTCTATTTAGAGAGCGATATATATGGGATTAAGTGGAAAATGAACCATATGCCTAGAGAAATGCGTGTTTCTACATTTCTGAAATAGGTCTTTGTCTTTTGTGACTCAAACGCTCAGTTTTTTCCTAGCTGATAGTCGAGATTTGAAAGTAGGGAAGCTGTAAAAACTCCTCCTTCTGAGGATGCAAGGGTGGATAGAGGTAACCAACCAAACCAAAGCCCAGGATCTTGCTACACAATACACTCTGCTTCCTAGGAGTGTCAGCTACTCAGCTTTGTGGCTTGTCATTGTTTAGACCACTGTCTCCTCCTGAGGTGGCTAGAACTGGGGTTGTCATCAAAAGAGTGGGTAGGAGGCTGTCCTCATTAGCTTTCACTGTCAGCTGAACACACAGCCTAGAGACATCTGAGAAGGGACACTTGAAGGGTTGCCCAGATCAGATTGGCCTGTGGTGAATTGTCTTGATTGATAATTCATTTAGGAGGGCCCAGCCCACTATGGGCAGCACTATTCCGTGTACAGATAGGTGCTCCTGGGCTTTGGAAGAAATGTAGCTAAGCATGAGCCGGCAAGCCATGTTCTCCGTGGTTCCTGCTTGAGTGCCTGCCCTGAGGTTCCCCAGTGAAAGGCTGTGATCAGTAAGGTAAAATAAGCCCTTCCCTCTCCTAAGCCATGTTTTTGGAAAGAGTGTTTTATCACACCAGAAAATGAGCTAGAACAGTAGAGCAATAAAAGTCTTCAGGTGTCTTCATGATAGATTTTTATTATGGTCATTAAGTACTTTTCCAATTCCGCTATGTTTAATCTGTTCATCATCTCCGTAGAAGAAAATTAAAAGCAAATACAACATTTAAAAATAATTCCCCACTGTATTAGCTACTTTTCTGTTGCTGTGATAAAATATCATGACCAAAAGCAATTTAAAAAAGAGATGTTTATCTTGGCTTATGGTTCTAAAGGGAAAGTCCAGAATGGCAGAAATACATGGCGGCCATGAAGCAGAGAGATCCTATCTTCAACGTCCAACGCAAAGCAGAGAGAGAGAGAGAGAGAGAGAGAGAGAGAGAGAGAGAGAGAGAACTGGAAATAGGGAGATAAATTCCCAAAGCCTGCTTTTAATGACCTGTATCCTCCAACAAGACTCTGTGCCCTAAAAGTGTCATTACCTCCCCCAAACAGCACCACTAAGTGTTCTAATGTATGAGCTTCCGGGAGGCATTTCTCATTCAAACCAGCACAAACTGCAGGATGCCAGCAAGCAGAGCATCAGTGTGTAGGTGGCACCAGCAGCGTGCCTGCCTCACCTCTGGGGACTCTCTTCTCTTCAGACTGATCTCAGGTGGCCTTGAATTTTCTCTCTCTCTCTCTCTCTCTCTCTCTCTCTCTCTCTCTCTCTCTCTCTCCCTCTCTGGTGAAAAAATAATTTCAACATTAACCAAACAAAAAGGCTAAAAGAGATCAAAAGACAATGTTGTGATGCTCTATCACAGCCTGTGTTCTCAGGGAGGATAGTGGCACCTAAGGAACCTGCATCAGGACCAGTGATGTCTGCCATGAATCCCCTTGAACCCTGGCATTGTTTTCTATTTCCGTATCTTAGTTGAAAGTTTTAGGCATTTAATTCCATAGGAGTTTTGCAAGGATATGATTTGCTTAATGTTCTTTTATCTCCATTTTCAAGTTAAATGACCCCGACTTTTAGATGTCCTACTAAGTTTTAAAAATGTGTATTCATTTTCTCAGTGTTGCTCTTTAAATAGTTATGCCTTATCAGCATTGTGTGTCCTCTGCTGTGTTATTTGGGATGATTTTGCTCCTCTGGGAACACTGAAAAGGTCTGAAAACACTTTTATTGATAGCTAGGGAAGTGGGGAACCCTTACTGGCGTCTAGTATGTGGAGTGCAGGGATTCTGCAATTTTCTTTGCACAGATCCAGTGCTAAGGTGAAAATGTGAAAAAGACTTAATGATGCTTCAATTTAGAAAGCCTATTATATGTAGTTTTATTGTATCAAGCGCAGGGAATAAAATGTCTCCTACACCTTCAGAATGCACATTTACATGGCCATGGCTTACAGAAACGCAGGGGGTAGGAGGTGACTTGATAAGGAGTTATGCTTCTGAGGCTACTCACATATGCGGAGTTGGCCGTTTCCCTCACTCGTGGATTACCAAAATGGCATCACTTGTGACTGAGTTATGCAATTCTTTGTTTTTCTTTCAAGCACTTAAATATAAATCCACTCGAACGAATAAGAAGATCATTCTGCTGCTCGTCGCCGGGTCGGTGCTCACTGTCATCGTCATTGTTGGAGCCATTCTTCTCATACCAGGTAGGCTGCATGGGTACCGGGATCAGGGCTGTGGGACTGATGGGAGAGGCGTCCCGGGGGGTCATGTATCGGCTTGCAGGGCTCTTGTGACCCATTGTGGCAAATGATGTGATCTCAAGCAATAGAAATTCTCTGGAGGACTTGAAGTCTCTCTCAAGGGCTGTAGTTCCCTCTGGGGAAGAACCCTTGCCATACCTCTACTAGCTTTCCTGTTTACAGGCAGTGCTTAGAACTGCCCAGCTAGTAGAGCGGCCCCATCACTGCCTCCTCCTGCCCTGTGTCCACTGTGTCTGTGCGAGGTCCCTCTCCCTTCTCCTCTCTGCCCTGACACTCATCAGGAAGTATTCAGGCGCTCACTCAGTTTGGGTAAGGTCTTCCTTCTACATCCTTGACTTAGTAGCATATTTTTTTACCCATTCAATATTTATTCTGCCACTTGGGGTAGTACTCATAGTTTCTAGGACCAGGATGGTGGAATATTTAACTAGGGCACCCATTCAATCTACTATGGAGGTAGACTTCACTGGCGGAGATGTGGAAATAGGCATACACATAGGAGCCATGTCCTTCTGAAGTGGGCATTGCCAATGAGAGGTGGAAATACGAATGGGAAATTGTGGCAGGGGGCAGATGGGAAGAAAAGCGAAGATTGGGATTTACCACGGCAGACCGCAGAACACCACTACCTCTGTTAGGGAGACTGAGGCACAGGCAGATCTTTAGAACACAGATTTGGCAGCCGGGTTTGCATCCAGGACTGGTATGGGCCTGAGGAGCTGATGAACTCAGAAGGCGATGTGAAAGAGCGGGTGATTTGGCTTGGGGACAGGCTGAACACTGAGAATGAATGAACGGTGGAGAGCGAGGTTAAGTTCATCACCTGGAAGATTTACGGCAGCTAAAGAGTTAAAACCAAAGAAAGCATTCAACATGTTAAGATATAGATCCTTTAGCTTGGCCTTAAATGTTAAAATAAGAATTACTTATTTTGTGTGAACTTGGGGAAAACATCTTAAGCCTTTTTCAGTGTATAAGGTAGCATTAAGATTAAAACATTTAGTAGAATAAGTATATAACTTCACACCGAAGTATATAAGAAAATATTTTAAATGTATTTATTTATAACAGGAGAAAACCCTGTAAAAAGTGCTTCTGGACTTGGCCTCATTGTCATCTCTATAGGAATATTAATACCGCTTCAGTACAATGTGTTTATGACAGGTGAGTGTTTATTCTTACAGTCTGATTGTTGCCATTTCCCTTAAAAAACAACCAGTACTTTGATGAAAATACTCTTGTGTGGTTTTAAAAGTTCAATAGAAATTGGTTTATTAGACTGTCCATTGTATATTTAGTGACATTCCTATACAGATTGATTTTCAGGTTGCCAGGTCTTCTCAACAATTATTTTATGAAAAGAAATTTTCTTGCATATTTGATGGAATTGTTGTAATTTTAAAGTGCGCTGTATAATTTTAAATGGTTAATTGCATATTCTAATTTTAGTTTTTTGTAGCTATAAGTCAGTATTCAAAGCATTCTTTTTCCTCTTTTACTAACCCCTTTGCAATAAGAAGACAGGTTCTATCAGATGGGGTTATAAGTCACAGATTTTAGAAACACAGTTTCTTATTGTTGGTGACCCTGAAAGGTATGGCTATTCCAACTATAATCAGTACTGTTTTTATGCATTTAGGTTATGTTTTTGTTATTGTTGGGTCAGATTTTTGTTATTGTTAAGAGTCTTATGTAGCACTGAGGCTTAGGTCCTTACGCTATATTTAAAGGTTAGTTAGGAAAGCACAGATCTTACACACACACACACACATGTTATCCCCAGAACAGTTGTGTGCATGTGGATAAGCCATGCATAACAAGTCATTCAGACTCTACAGTTTATAAATGTAACAACGACATTGTTTTGAGAGTTTGGTAAAAACTGCCAGTCCCTCTCAGATGACCGGCAATATAAGCTTGCAGAATGTGTGATTCTGGAGCTGGCAGTCCTGTGGAAAGGTTAGCTGGAGAACGTGACATCTGATGAGGAACTGCAGTCCAGCTCTGAATGTGTCAAATGCCAGCAGGAGTAATCGCTTCTTCTGTGTTCTCGGCACGCTCCTATTGTGTCCTTCTCCTCCCTCAGCGTTTGGAATGGCCTCTTTCACCATTGCCATATTGATCACTCAAGTGCTGGGCTACGTCCTTGCTCTGGTTGGACTGTGTCTCTGCATCATGGGTGAGTCATATTCTCTTGTGTGTGTGGTTTCATTTCAGTCAGGTTAGAGCTCTTACTTCCTCTTCCCTTTTGTTGTCTTTATCTTCTTCGTCTTCTTCTTTTTTAAACTGTATGGGCTTTTCTTATACCAATCGTGGATTCATAGGAAAACCTAGTGAAAAGTACAGAGACTTACCATAGACCCCAGTCTTTTCTGTTCCTGTCCACCCACAGCTTTCCTCAGCATTTCACACCCATATAGTGGGTGAACCCACATGGCATCCTTACCAACCCAAATTAAGAGCTTACATCATGGTTGGTTACTGGTGCTGCACAGGACATTCTGTGGCTGTGATGAATGTGCAGCCGACACGTATGCCCATTGTGGTATCACATGGAATAATCTCCGTGTTCTGCTTGTTCATCTGTCCCTCTCCATAACCCCTGTCATCCCTGGCCTTTTAACTTTCCACACAGCTTTGCATTTTCCAAAATGCCTTAGAGCTAGATTTATACTGTGTGAAAAGCACAGATCGTGTCCACACACAGCACAGAGCTTACATTGTGCTTTCTCATGCAGGCTTCCTTCCTTTTTAACTGTGTCTTAAGTTTCATCCATGTCTTTTTTTATAGCTTGATAGCTCATTAGTGCAGAAAAAAACACTGTTGCCATAATGTGTTTAGTATTTTGCATTCACCTACTGAGGGGCCATCCTGGTTCTTTTCCTCTTTTTGTGACAGACGCATAGAGCTACTGTAAACATCAATGAGCATGTGTTTGTGTGGATATAAATTTCCAGCTCTAGTTGGCTAAATACCAAGGGCTGTAATTTTTGCATTGTGTGGTGAAGGTACAGTTAATTTTTGTAGCAAACTGGCAAACTCTGTTTGGTAACACCATCAGGGAGCGGTGATTTTGCGTCTCAGCCCATTTTTCAGCATTTGGAGTTGTGAGCCGTTCTTTTTCACCCCCCCCCCACAAATACGCTCTCTCTCTCTCTCTCTCTCTCTCTCTCTCTCTCTCTCTCTCTCTCACACACACACACACACACACACACACACACACACACCAGTGTAAATAGCGTTTTCCCCTTTGCTAAAAGAACGTTGCCTCTATATGGCTTGTGGCATGACTGTTCAAATAGTCCAACTATAGTGCCCGTATCTGTGGGAGAACTTGTTGAATAACCAGGATGTACTTGAGCGACACCTTGGCCTTTACACGCTCTTTTTCACTAATCTTGATATAGCAGCACACTACGTAAAAATTTTTTTAAAAGAATTAAGCTATTTTATTGAGTTATTTATAAAGACATTCTTATACTGTATGCATGTAGGTAATGTTTTTACTAATCATCAGAACAGAAAATGCTATCTTTAAAGCTGGCATAGACTGGAGTATAGCTCAGTGAGAGCACTATTTGCATAGTATATAAATCTACAGAGTCGGGAACCTAGATCCACCAAATACACCAAAAAAAAAAAACCTTATATTATTAGTTATTATTGATTCTTTGAAATTAAAATCTGTTTACTTTATATGCATTTCTAACAAAATTTCGTTTGTTTTACAGCTTGTGAGCCAGTGCATGGCCCCCTTTTGATTTCAGGTCTGGGTATCATAGCTCTAGCAGAACTACTTGGCCTAGTTTATATGAAATTTGTTGGTAAGTTGATCTTACTTCTTAAGCCTCTGCAAAGAATTCCAGATATATAGCTTAGAAAGGTAGTATAGCCAGTTCCTCCAGCTGAGGGTAGACATCTCCTGGTGTCTCCAAAAACGAGAAAATATAATTGGAGAGATGGCAGTTAAAGAGGGAGGAGGCTTGTGTGCTCACGCGGTTTGAATTGCAAATTAAGGAAGAGAATGGTTTTGTGTATTATAAAGTTTAGACTTTATTTTTATAAGCAAAAGAAGACAGCTTTGAAGGTTCCATTTTAAATTGGTATAAAAGGTTCATTCCTTGTTCCAGGGTCCTCTTGTGGAGCTCTTTGTCCCTCTGTCCTTTGTGTATGCTGCTTGTACATACAGACAACCCTGAAGAGACAGAAACTGAAAATTAAACGTGTCACATCTATAATTTAATGTGCAGTGACTTCCAATGCACTACTGTAAGACACTTCTAGTGAAAAATCAGTATAGTAAAAGAGATCTTTAAATTCGAGATGTTTGGGCCTTTAAATCCATTTTTGGCTGGTTTTTGGTACTTGCTCTTGCCATTTGGTGTCTAACCTGCCAATCTCAGCTCTGTGGTTTCTTCATTTTGTGGATGTGTATACACATAGACAGGTGTTTTTCATGGTGTCTGAACTAGAATGTGCCTTACCTAAGCCACACCTGTCCCCAGCCATCTGATCTATGACTGTCTCCCTTAAAAGAAGCAGTTTGATATTTCTCTGTACTACAGCAAAGTCCTCACTGCATAACAAGAAAATCCAAAGTTAAAACTCATCGAAACAAATCAGTATTTTCAATATGGTATCAGGTGGACATTTTCTGAAAATTAATACAAAAGATAGTTATTATAGTCAATAAATTTTTCATACTATTTACCCAAGACTCAAAGAAATTTTGCCTTTAATTTTGAACTTCATTGCTTAACCTCTGATCATGAAAGTTGATCTATTACATATATATATATATATATATATATATATATATATATATATATATATTCTTTTCTCTTTAGTTAGTGTTTTAATGTAAACAACTAAAATACTCCAAAGTCTACTTACTTTTAGTTTTTATGTTGAGAAGTATTAGTTGTTGCTTACTGAATTTTCCTGACACTATGCCACATAAACCCATTAAACACAACTAAGACATCTGTAGCAGGCTGGCACTCAGGAGCTGACTCTGATGCCTTGAATTCTGATGCATAGTCTATTTTTGTTAGTCTTCTAATCAGCCTGTGTCTGGACTTGAAGGCTGACAGTGCTGATTTGGTTGCTCCCATGAATGCTAAGAACAGTATGTGACCTGCAGGATTCACATAAGGATGCAATGGGATAGCTCTCAGCTCTTATTTCCCACTTTCTATCTGGGCTGCATCCTTTTGTTCCGAGGCTCCCGTAACTGATCATGAGCGATGCTCAGTATAGCTGCCCTGACATTTGTGCCTCTGCTCCCGCCTTTTCTCCATGGCTCATGTCCTCATGGAGCCTGTAAAGCCACTCGAGTTGTACATTGTTGTGGTAAAAGTGAAATCAGAGCACCCAAAGATTCTTTCTTTGTGATGACTTACTAGATAAATACACTCTAAGTTAAGAATTTCTTCCAGTTTTATTGACACTTTGAGACTATCCTAAATTAACTTTTTACATCAACTTCTCTGACCCCAGAGTGGAGAGAGACACCTTCGGTCAGTTGAAGGGCAAGAAGAAAAGGTACAGGATGGCCGCTTTCTAGATACTGTGGTAGACTAGGACAATGAATGTTTTGCTATGTGTTCTGACTGTGTAAATCTGAACATATGTAGCATTAAGGTTGCAAATTTGAGCATCTCTATCAGGAAGTGAAAGTTGTGTTTCCAAAATAATTTCTGCTCATTGCAGACACCATTGTAGAAATGGGTGACTTTTGATTTTAATGCAGTAAAACCCTTACTTTAAAAAAAAAAAGCTCTCTTTCTAAAGGGAGTTAATATCCCTGTGAGAACGATAACATTTATATTTTTCATTATTTCTGAGTTTAAATTTGTAACCTTAATTGCAGTTTTAAGGGATGTGATTTTAACTTTTGCTTTCTATGACAAATATAATTTCTGAATTATATGTTTTCTTATGAGAAGTATTTTAATTTTATGAAGTCAAAAAATTATAATAACTTAATATGAGCACATAAGAAAGATGAAAGGGAACTAACTTTACCCCCTACAGCAGAGCCTGGTTTTGTGTAGGACGCCTGATGTCATTATTTTAGGTGGCACAAGAGTTGTTTTTAAAGCCATCACCTTTTCATGCAGTGTTAGGACAGATACAACCGCTCTGGTTCAAATCAACTTGGTGGTGGTCAGAACCAGGCCTGGCACAACATCTCGGGGTTCTGAAATGATACAGAAACACACATATATTGTGTGTATTTGTTCAGATGTATTTTCTTGTCCATTGTGTACAAGCTATGTACAAATCGCTAGAAAAACTGATCGTGAGGAGTTGAAAGCCTGAAAATATATTGATGACATGTAGTCAGGTATTTCAGAGTGAGCAACGTAGCAAGAATCATTGCAAGTATGGATTTTGATAAAAAAAAAAAAAAGATGACTACCATTGCCCACGCTCATGACACACGACAGCAACTGACCAGTCATCCCCACTCTCCCTCACATGGCTTATATCCCCACTGGAGAGAATTAAGTCAGGTAAAATTAACTCCTGTGCAACTAGTTCTACAATGCCCGAGGACGTGACTGACTAGTGTCCTTCATAGTGTACGATGGTCCTGTAGTTTTGTTTCAGAATGAGCTGGGCAAGTCAGACCGGGCAGTGAGAACTTAGCAGCCGTCTTGTGCTGCTAAGGACAGTGGAAGCACAGAAGATCTCTTCTTGGTATTCATTACGGTGAACATATTTATGAGCTTGAATGTAACTTTAAAATAGTTTGCAGTATTCTTGGGGAGATGAAAAATCTCCTCTTCCCAATTAGAAAAAAGTGTCAGATCAAAACATGAATAATCCCAGAATCCAGTTTGGTGAACCAGTGAGTTTATTGGGGTTACTTTCAGGAGCAGGAATGAATGTCTCAAAACCAAAAACCCTCTCCAGCCTGGGGTGGCAAACAGCACATGAAAGCTGAAACCCTACTCAGCCCACAGGCAGCATGGTGGGTTGGAGAGTCCTCTGAGAGAGCTCAGTGGGTCTGAGCTGCTTCTTCCAGACGATGCTTCCTCCAGGTAGCTCATCTGCCCTCAGCTTGTCTGAGAGAGACTCGCTGCAGTCTTTACTGCTCATGTAAGTGTGCAGAGGGAGGCGCCTCATGAATCTGACCAGTTTCGTGGACTTCCAGAAGCAATTTTGATTCTTTACCCCTTGAACTAAAGCAACTTCTTCTCAGGATGGTGGAGGTTTTCACCTCAGAGAAAACTGCTAAGCAACAATCCTTCATATTACCAACCAGAAATGTAGACAGCACCTTTGCTTTATAAAGCATAAATATAGGGGTTGGTACTTGTACGTTGTAGATTCAGTGTCTTGTTGGTCATTCACAACGTTCTAACTCGGCTTAGTTTGCTGGGGCGGCTGCTTCACTCTCTACCACTTAGAAAAGAGGTTACCTTTTTGCTTGAATGTGAGGAATAAGCATACCCCGAGGACCGCCATCATGAGGGTCTTTTATTTAAAGCCACCCATGACTTTTCACAGAGACGTAGGGCTCATTAGGGCAGGTGCATAGATGCTTTCATGGAGTAGGCCAGAATGTGGCTTCGGTATTGGCAGAACACAGCACAGTTGCACCACCCCATTGCTTTCAGCAAATAGCAGTGGTGGCTGCTCTTTTGTCCTTAACGGTCACTGGCACCCTGCCCTGCATTCTTCATTGTTAGCAGCTATCTTATCTTCACCATTAAAGGTTCCTGTTTTGTTTTCCAAAATTTGATTTATGTTTCACTTTTAGTAGTCAGGCATGTACATTACACAAAACTTAGAAGTCAGCAGTAATTTATGGTATCCTTTGCTCGTGGTGAGTGAATTAAGTTAGAGCAGCTTGGAAAGAATCTCTTCTGAGATATTTATATGGTAATCAGAGTGAAACACTGCGTATGTGAATGTGTGTGTGTGTGTGTGTGTGTGTGATGTATGTGTTCACTGTGTGTGAAGTTTGTATGCAGTATGTGTGTGTTTATGTGATGTGTGTGTCTAGCTTCTCTTCCTTTTTCTAAATAAAGAGCTTTAATTCAATGGTCCTTCTTAAATCAACAAACAAATTTCTTCTTGAGAATTGACAGTTACTCCAAAATCTTGCAGGTGCCAGTGACTTCTTTTTAAGAAACGGAAGTTTTAATTGATTTCATTCTCAAAGATGTTTACTTACTAGTAGGAAAGATTCATGCTATTTAGTCGTCCTCAGGTCCGAATATTTTAGCATTATCATCTTAGCGGTACACACCAGCAAAAGCTGAGGAGTTATCTTTAGGATATAGCTCGTTCCTCTCTGTCTTTAAGTAGTACTCTTGTATTTTGAGTACCGTATTCACATTTCTGCCCTACCTCTTCTTTCTCCAGCTCTTCTGGCACCCCTCCTCAAATTCATAGCCTCATACTCTTTAATTATTATTGTTACACACACAGTACACACACATATTGATGTAAGTGTAAATTTATAAGCACAACCTACTGAATTCATTAAGTGTTGCTCATACGTCTATGTGTTTATGACTGACTCCTTGGGATTCGATCATCTTACAAGCCTTATCCCCAGAGAAGATTGATCTGCCTTCTCTCAGCAGTCATGGCTTGCCTGTTGCTCTTAATTTTGGGGGCAGAGCCTTATGAGATTTTCCCCTTCTACATTGTCATGTCAACTGATAGGTGTCATTCTGCAGGTCCTGTTTAGGCAACCATACTGTTGAGATTTCATGGGTGCTACTACCCTATCATGTAAAAGACTCTCTAAGTGTCATTATACAAAATGTGGCAGCAAACATCCTAGTCACCTGGCTTTCACAGTCTTTCTGCCCCCTCCTCTTCAATGATTGCTGAACTGTATACTAAGCTGTAGGCATTGGGTTTTTGAGCACCCAATGCTCTCTGCTAAGATGTAGGTATAGGGATCATGATGTAGGTATAAGGAGTAAGCTAAATTGTTCTCTGCTGAACTGTTGGCATAGGGATTATGTTACAGATGAAGTAGTTGAGGTTGAGCAGTCAATGGTGAGTTGTTCTCTGCATACTGACCAGATATTTCTGTAATCACCTCCATTTGCTTCAGAAAGGAGTTTTTTTTTTAATGAGGGGTGGGAGCCTCATTTATCTTTGGGTGTAAGGATAATCATTTAGAACACTGTTGTACTTTAGGGGAAGTGACAGTAGTCAGTTCACTTCTGGGTCCTCCACCTCCCTAGCCACAAGCCATTGACTAGGTTTAACAATGTAAAGTGTGAATTCCCTTCTGTTGAGCAGGCCTGAAGTTCAATGTGATAGCTGCTGATTATCCCCAGTATAGAAGTACCAGGATCACACCTGTGGCTGTATCGTGCTGTTATGGTCATTGTGATTCATAAGAAAGAGGCTTCTAGGTTGGTCGAGCTTGATTCCTCCAAGTCTCTATCCAAAGTGTGTCTGTCTTCAGCTATAGCATCTTAACTTCAATTTTGAAGACGTAACCTCAACAGCCTATAATGTTTTGGGAATCCTTGAACTCCCCTAATGATCAACTTGGAAGGAGGTCTCCCGTGCCTGGTAGTGATGTTTTGAGTACATAGTATGGCTTTAGGGGAACATTGTCACCCCAAGTGGCATGGCTTCCTTTAAACTTTATGTGTGCATATACACACATAATTGTAATAAACATAAAATAATAATTCCCTATGACTTTTCCAAAAATCTTTATGGTTATTGATCCCTATATATGCTTTGAAATTTTTGTATATGTATTCAAATGTATGTTGATCATATAAGTCCCCAACTATCCCCCCCCCCCACCATCCCTGGGACCTATTAACCTATTTTCTTCCTGTCTCCATGTCCTTTTTAAAAATAATTTTAAAAATAGTAGTAGTAGTAGTAGTAGTAGTAGTAGTAGTAGTCTCCCAAGTCCAGTTAGTGCTGACCATATGCATGGGCAATATTTTTGCCAATAATAATAATAATAATAATAATAATAATAATAATAATAATAATAATGATAATGATAGTCTCCTGAGTTCAATTAGTAGAGCCATGTCCCCGGAGAAAACTGGTTTCCCTGTCCCTCGGTGACCATACTTTCCAGTAACTCTTCATCTAGGGGTGGAGGGCCTATGAGCCCCTGCCCAACCATGCTGGAATTCTGGTTGGCCTGAGCTTTGCACGGTTCTTGTATAAGCAACTGCCTGTGCTGTGAGTCGGTGTGCCTGTCAGTGACGTCATGTCCAGAAGGCAGCATTTCACAGCCCTCCTTCCCATCCTCCAACTCTTAAATTCTTCCTAGTCTCTCTTCCAGTATGTTCAGTGAGCAGAGATGCTGATGTAGTGAGTCCATCCGTGGCTGGGCTTTCTCAGTCCCTGATTCTCGGTGCTCTGACTAGTTGTGAGTCAGTTACGTGCTAACCAAACAACTGCAGAAAGAATCTTCTCTGACCAAGGTTCAGAGTGGCACAAATCTGCCTTCCACACATACTCTCTGTTATACATCCTTTTTCGATTGTTTTTTAATATATGCGTACACTAGAGTGCTATCTCAATCTCTTTTACATTTTATTATTAAATGTGTATTTTGACATTTTCACACACACACACACACACAAACACATACACACGCACACACATTCTCATTCCTATCACCCGCCCCCATCAGACCCCTGAAAGTCTCTGTGCCATATTCATGAGTTACTGTTTTGTTTGAAGACCTAGTGAGTTTAACCAGGGCCCTCTGTCTGACCATGATTTTGGAACTCTCTTTTGGAGCCTGGTGGGTTCGTGTGTATTAACTAAACCGAGGAAGTAATTTTCCAGTTCTCAGAATCTAATATTGGTCATTGGTTTGATGGTGGGGACTTAGGCCCCTTGAGTCCCACCACCATCAGTGCCTGGCTTCTGACAGGCTCATTCTTATTTAAGTACATTGCAGGCAAGTGTAGTTGTATTGAGTTCCTGATCAAAATGTGTATATCATGTCCAGAACAGCATTCTGTAGCTCTGCCTCCTGTCTTCCAGCTCCTATATTCTTTCTGCCTCTCTTCCCAGGGTCCCCTGAACCTTGGTAGAGGGTGTGCGGATGCCTTTTATAGCTGAACACTTACTTATTCCTGTGACTGAGTTCAATTTATATAATTTAAGAATGATCATGTTTTGCTCCCATTTCCTACTTAACTGTGTGATACATTCCATAGCTGCTCTCTTCCTGTAGGTACTTTTCCTACCTGTAGCTCTGTATTCCAACCTCTTCCTTGTTTACTTGTTTATTTTTACCTCTCCTTCCCACCACCAAGTTTCTAGTTGGTTTTATTTATCCTTCTCTAATCTAGTGGTAATGTGATATTTAGTGGCCTGTCAGCTGTAGTTTCTCTGTTTGAGAAAGCCTGGTCCCAGTCAGCTTTAGGAGCTTACTGAATTTGCAAGGGCAGGGTGGGGGATCTTGGCTGTCCCGGGCCCACCTTTGTCTGGTAGCCAGTAGGGTTTCAGTAGAACCTTACAAGCCCTAACCCTGTTTTCCAGCAGGCCACATGACTTGGAAATGATTCTGCTTCACCCCCATCTTAAAACTACATTGTGCATTCTGCTGTTGCTCTTGAATGTTTGTACTGTAAAAATTATCTTGAGAAGTTTGGATTTCTTGAACTGAGATAGAGGGGTGTGGTAGGAAATTATGGCTAGTAAAAGAATGTTGAGTCATTGAAAGACTGATGCTGGTCATGTTCTCCTGTCTTGGGGACACAGACATGTGTGACAGGATAGCTGTAGTTGTTCTAGGGTTTCCTTGCCTGATTTTATAAGGAAGTTTTCTTTCCCACCAATCCAGAGTTGTTCTTTTCCCTCGTGTCTTGCCCCCTAGTCTTGCACCTTCTTTAGCTAAGCTGGTCAGAAGGGAGCAACTCAGAATGCCAAGGAGGAATACACAGAAGAGGACCTGGTTGGTCTGACACTGACTGTCTGGGATAGCTCTAAGCTTGGCAGGATCATCATGTATTCTTTGGTTTTTTGTTAGGTTTCTAGAACTTTGAAGACTGGAAAGGAGAGAAAGGAAGAGAAGGCCCCTAGACTAGGAACAAGAACAGTGTGTTATGGGAGATAGTCTCCAGGGAAAGTTCCTCATTGCCATGTTCTGTCCCTCCTGACTGAGGAGTAGGCAGAGATGGGACCCTGTTAGGAGAGAGTAGTTGACAAAATCTTTCACCATGATGTGTAACGGGTAACTGACAAGAGAGAGAGTGTGCACACAACCGACTCTGTGTTTATAAGTTGCTGTAAGCATCTTATTTGCTTCCTTTTCTCCTGTTAATGTATATAATCAAGAGTCCTCTAGTTTTCGTACAGACCACCAAAGCTAGGACTCCTTCTCTGGAGCATCTAGCACCTTCTAGTTTTAGCCCTGAACTTGTTATCTTAAAATTAAGTATTGCATTGCTTCATTTATTTTATTTATTGAATTTATATTTTTATTTATACCAGCTTCCAACCAGAGGACTATACAACCTCCTAGGGTAAGTTCAAATTTGTTAAATGAATTAAGAATGATTGCTTGATGAATTAAAATGAGAGGTTGATAATTGGAATATTGAACTGTTTTGTTTTCCGCTTAATGTGACATCCAATGAAGACAATGCTGAAGTTCAGGGCCTGTGCATGAGTGAGTGGGGCTGATTCTATTGTAAAACTTCTCTTGGGGCCTTTATACACCTATGAGTTAGGAGAAATGACCCTGTAAGATTGTGCTCAGTTTATATATCCAGAATTGGAAAGTCTCTGAGAAGGAGTGTGGTCATCGCTTCCATCAGAAGGAAGCTGATTGCAATATGTCTCCCCAACTGTTGGTGTTGCTTGACGTGACAGTTTCAAGCATGATCTTCAGGAAGAGAAGTTTGTGCTAAGCTGACTTCATTTAAAGATATAAAGTGTATGCTGTCGGAAAAGAAATCTGTTCCAAATAACGACTCCCCGTTTTATCAGCACTCTTCTTCCCCTAAGTGCGCTAGAGGCCTCATTGTGTTTTCCTGCTTCCATAAGCTCTTTGGGGGTGGGGGGTGTTTCTAAGAAAAGGAGCAAATTCTGGAGAAGATTACGAGGGGGAGAAGAAGCACAAACTACCGTTTTGAGTCAGCATAGTGACAGGCCTGAGAGTTCTCACAAGTTGTACTCAGCTTCCTGTAAATAACGGCTGACAGATAAATCTGGCCTCCTCACAGGACACACCCAAAGGGCAGGCCAGGGCAGAATGTGTTCATTTACCTCAGCGTTTTCCTCTGAGTAGTGTCGTAGCTGTGTTCCTCACAAGCAGCCCGCGGCTTTCCTGGTGCCTCGTGGAGATAACCTGATCAATGGACCATTAAATCCTAACAATTTCTTGCTGCTACTAAGTTCAATTTGCATGATGTGAAGATGATTCTGCTTCGCTGCCATCTCTTATTTAACTGTATTTTCTATCTCTTGCTGCAATTTGCATGTTTGTACATTAATACTTTCATGAGATTTCTTGAACTGAGAGTGATGGGTGGAGTGGGAAATTTTGCACAGAAAAAAATACTAAGAGAATCATGTGGTTGTTATTAAACTATTAAGTAGCCTTGGGAAGCCTTGTTTCATTAGCTTTTCTTGTCTTATTTTGCTTTTAGACCCTAGGAGTCTCTGTTTATAATACAGGTTTAATGATAGTGTAAGTTTTAACATAAAAACTATAAAATAACATGTATTTTATATAAATATTTTAAATATTTTCCAGAAAGCTGTAGAGGAACCCCTTAACGGTATGTGATTATTATAAACTTAGTAGTCTTGGTCCATTAGCAGATCATAATTTGAACTGATCGTTAAAGGCATTAGAATACCCATGCATGCCTTGGGAAGAATCTGGTTTGGGAGTATTGTTTGTTTGCTTAATTTTTGGTCCGTATGCTCTCTTGCCTTAATCTCTTGATTCTTCCTTGATTATTCATCAGAAATTGATAGTGTTGCTTTTGTAATGTTCTCACTGTCCTGTGCTATAGTAGTTGCTTACTTTTGCAAAGTGACATTGGGCAAGGAGACCATTGACCTTGGTCAAGGTGAAGTGTTTCACCCTCAGTATAGAGAAAAATCATGGTGGCTTCCAATTTCTAATTTGTCAATTTTAGAAACATACAGGTTGCCACCTGGCGTAATACCAAAAATGTCTCACTTGCTTCCTATGTAAATCTAGACCTGGATTCCCCAGTAAGTTTGTTTGCTTTTTGTGGATGCTGTGGATGTGAGCCCGAGAAATGCATCCCAAAGAATGATAGCCTCAAATGAGTCTAGCTGTCTAGCCGAGGGATAGTTGTGTTGTTGCATATTTGTTTATCTTGAGATTATTTCTATGAAGTCATACTAACTTTTTACTAATTGCCTGCTTGTTACTAATCCTTAGCATTTAAAGAATCAAAAGGAATGATGAATGATGGTAAGTCTGAAATTCTCTCGTCGTTGTATGCTGATTGATTCCTGGACATTAAAAAGAAAGCAGAGAGCTCCTTGAAATGACAGCTTCTTTAGAAAATAAAAGGGGCACTGTCCGCCATGAATGCCCACGTTTCTTGATGTTTAAAACAGATCTAGTTTTAGATTCTTTTCTTCTGCCTGCCATGGTGTCATTTTTCTGTAGGTGGATAAGAATAAAACCCTGTGGGGTATCAGACATTGGAACCTCGTGGTTCCTCGCAGAGCAGTTGCCACCTTTGATAAGCGTGTTTCAGGTCATGCGTCCCTTTGTTGAACTTTTAACATTTTTTTTATGACGTGTGCAGATACTCTGGTGGGGTTGCTCCTATATTCATGGAGATGATTTCGTTGCATGTGACACTGGGGGTGATATATCTGCTTTCCTAAGCAAGAACTTAACCCCAATCTTGTAGGAAAGGACCAAAGAGAGAGAGAGAGACTTCCTTACTCCCCCAAGCCTTTCCCTTTTCTCTGAACATCAGCTCAATAGCAGCATGTTTCCTGAATATGACCAACACATGTGCTTGTTATAATTCTAACCTAAGAAGTCTGACTCTTGCCCCTAATGTATCCTTCATATACTGTGATTCTCTAGCTCCATGAGTATTTGGGAACTACATTTATATTTATCCTGTTTTCAAAAATGTCTTCACGCCATTGGTCCTTGAAACCACTCCATACTCCAGACGTTGCTGTTGTAAAGCCTGTGACCTTCCAGTTCACCTCTATAACAAAGAGGTGCCAGTAACACAGGAGGCCATCTTCCCCAGAGCACAATTAACTTCTGCATAAGATTAAAAAAACACTTCCATCGTGTTGGGTGAGCTAAATTTAAAACGGTGCTCAGGCGTGTGTTTAACGGGAAGTCCAGAATGGTCCCATAGTTACAGGCTTTTGTCGTAGCTTTTAAATGTGTGTTTTGCTACACAAGCCACTGCTACCTAAATATGGTGGTTTTAGTGGGAGTAAGTGTAAAGAATGCCAGGCCTGGTTTTTATCATGTTTACCCTCTGTGTCCTGTTTTCAAATATTCTCATCTGGCTTTTACCTACCATGGTGTAATTTTTCTGTAAGTAGACTAAAAAGTAAAGAAATAAACCTTTCCCCATTTACAGAGAACCAGTGTAAAAATCCTCCAGGGCCTCTTGGTTAGTTTTCTTTAAAATGTGACTTTTTTTTAAGTCACTGTATCAGCAGATAGCTTAAAGAACTAATGTTTTGATTTTTGTTTGTTTGTATAGCACGTGAGATCTGTGACGATCTTGGAAATGCCCTGAATTTTGGCCACATTGAGCTGATCACAATTTCCTTTTCAAATATCTGTTGATAGGCCCAGTCTTCTAACATCCTCTCTGGGTGCCTTGTCACACTGGATGAGGTTCAAGGTGCCATCCCTTTACCTACGCCAGATCACAAGTCTGTTTCACTTCTGTTAACTGAATGGTGTAAATCGAAAGTGAATGTGATAGAATACTATTCTTGGATCAATAACTTCTGCTTTGAAAAACCACCATCCCTCGCTCGCCTTTTGTGGAGCCAACCCAGCAAGCCGAGATGATCAGTCTGTGTTCACTGTATTTTCATTTGTCATTGGCATTTTGCTTAGCAAACTGAAAAGAGTAGTGATTTGCCTGATTTCTCCCTGTGACCTTTACAGATCCGTTCTCATTATTTTTGATATAATATATCTGAAACAGTTCCACGTTTAGAAACAGATCATGTCTTAATGCGTAGGAAGTAGGCATGAGTGGTGACAAAATATCGATGTTTCTATTTTCCAGAATAAGTGAGGGGCAGTGATGGACTGTGCCTGGAGAGTCAGATGCGAAGGAACACAGTGTGTCTAAGCACCACGGCCCTGCTGACTCTGAGAAGAAAACGTAAACAGCAGTAACTGACTTTCATCTATGGAAGACGCGTTGGCCCATAGATGATAATCAAAGCAGCTGTAATTTACTTAATAAAAGAATCATGATTGTGTTGTGTAACCAATTGAAATCCATTTTTCTATTGTTTCTACTCAACTTGGGGCAAAAGAATCAGGGGCAACTTCCAAGAATGATGTTTGCTAGATCCTCGAGTCTCTGGACACTGGGTTTAAATCAATTCTGTATGAGACTTGCCTAGCATTAACCTGATGGTTATCCAGAGATACCCGTGACCAACAGTGGTATCCAGCAAGCCTTAGTAAACTCAGGTTCCCAGCAGCTTTGTCATTCGTGCTGCTAGCTGTATCATGTGACTGCCACTTCCAGATCATAGGGACAGAGACTAAAGGAGAAAAGTGAATTTGGCGGGGCGAATCCTGTATGCCCGCTATGTGTGCTATGATATCGATAGCACTAGTGTCTTCATTCTTGGGGCTTGCCTCCATCCACAATCCCCCCCCCCCCCCGGGGGAAATTGGGCGCCCGGATTTTGGATTCTTTTTTTTTTTTTCTTTATAAATGTGGATTTCTTTGCCCCCTGTCCTGTCCTGCTACTTGCGTTTGCGGTACAAGATGCAGTACCTTTTCTCCTCTTCGGACATGGTCCTGTGGCACGGTAGTGTCAGTCGCAGAAGGGAGCCAGACTTACTCTCAAAGCACTGTGCTCACTCACGCTCTTCAGCAAAAAATAGCTCTGGTTGTAACATATGTATTCAAGACCTCTGGTTTGAAGGCAAAAAAGCTACAGTGTTTCTTCCCGTGTTTTCTGATCCGGAGGCATGACCAAGCAAGACTGAGATCTGAACTATGCGTCTCCTGCATGGCAACATGTGTCTCCATCAGGCCCTAGCAAGGCCAGGGGGAGGAGGTTTTACGCCTGTTGTCTCTTTGTTGCATGATGAACACTCATCACCTTCCTCCTGTATCCCGCCTCTGCCTCCTCCTCTTCCCCTAAGTTTGAAAAGTAAAACAAAACCACCACGTTCCCTACCTGGTTAGAAGAAACCAACGTCCTGACAGTTGTGATCGCATGGAGTACTTTTAGATTATTAGCACTTGTTTTTTATCCCGTTTGTGGGCGTGTTTGTATGTGCACATGTATAAGATAGGCACATGCGTCTTCTGTACCAACAAAAGGGAGGCATCCTACAGAAGAGCAAATGCTAACTTTGTGCTTTTAGTAAATACATTTAAAAACAAAGGTCCTTATTCGGTGGAATTATATTTGATGCAAATGTTTGATCACTTTAAAACTAGGTAATGTGCCAAGCTTTTTTGACTGCTCACCAATGCCCTCTTTAAAAAAAAACAAAAAGCAAAAAAAAAAAAAAACACCAGTAATTTTCCCTGTTTGTGTAAGAAGGCATTCGTATTTTGTGTTTGCATTACTAATGGTCATTTCTCCTTAGTCCACTGAACATTTCCGTGTGCCTCTTGTATGCCAAACTTACTGTCATCTTTCATGTGGGGACCAATTGGTTTGTCCATGGCAAACCTAAACCTATGACCTGCTGAGGCCTCTCAGAAAACTGACCATGCTGCCAAGATAGTGCTTCTAAAGAAAAGTAGGCTTCCTCCCTGATCCCGTAGCTGTTCAAAATAGTCTTTGTACAGAGAGGGAGCTAGATGCCTTTATACAAAACTGATGGCTCCTGATGTTTTTCTGTTTCCTTTTGAAAATATTTATACCTTGCTCATTTTGTTGGTTACTTTGAAATCAGTTTTGATGAAGAGAGTAAAAAGCAGACAGACTTGGAACCGATCCAAATTTTCCTATTCTCTATTAAGAGAGTCAGGTGTGAAAATCTTTATAGTCAATTTTTTTTTTTAATGAACTAAAGTTGTACCTTTTAATATGTAGTCAGTGCCCCTCCGCTCGGGGTTCAGTCTTAACCAGCTGCCATGCTCTCTTTGCTGCCTGCCGTTTGAGGCGTTGCGTACCCTAGACAATGCCACTAGGTGGTGATGGCCAGGGAAACACAAGACGAACTCACTGGTGTTCTTAGTTATCAGCTTCTCTGTATGAGGGACCGCAGCGGCAAAGAGTCCTCCTGCCTGGGCATCATTGGGCCAGTTCACCCTCTTGAAATCAAACCTGGCTCTCATCGTAGCAGATTTAAATTGCTAACGGCGTCGTGGGCAGCATGCGTCTGTTTTGCCCCCCCAGAGTGCTCTCTTCTTCCTGATCCCAATTTCCGCCGTCATATCCTCTATTCGGCTTTTGTTTATTGTCTGCTCGCCATTTATACAACAGTACGGAGGGATGCCATTTGTCATTTTCCGCAACACTTTCCCAGCCTTTATGGCTGAGTCCCATTTTTCTTCTCTCTCAAACGGATGTGCTCCAGCTCATCCATCACTGACTGTACTTTGCAGTCCGTCCCCGTCTGTCTGGGGCCCCTTTCATCTCTCCCTTACCCTTTCTGGTGCTTCATGTGTCTCCGCCTAGCTCTGTTGGGTTTTCTGTCTTCTCACTGGACTTCTTTAAAGAAATTCCTCCCACAGCAAACGCGTGGCTTCCCTTTCTCCTTTTCTTCCCGCAGTGTTCTGCGTACATTAGTAGACACTCAGTACAGAATTTTGATGGCAAGAGTTGCCTGCACTTAGATTTCTCTTCTTAATAGGGTGAGCTAGAGAGTTTTTCTCCTTCTTTTCTTTCTTTCTTTCTTTTTTTTTTTTTGTCAGAATTCACATGCTTTGAAAATTATAAGAGGTGGTGATTCACCTGAAAATTCCAGGTCTGGTCTGTTTAAACCATTGAGAGTATCAGACTAAAAGTCATGGGGCTGTATCATACATAAGAGGCTTTCTTTCAAGCTGTTGTGGTCCATATAGTGGCCAAATTGTATCCGAGTTAATAAAGCTCAAAAAGTGAAGCATTCACTCTGTTGTCATCTCATTCATGAGAATTCAGCTGTGTATCATTGTCTAGGTTTATCTTGCCTTACAATGGGTATTCAAAGATGGCCGCCAGAGGCTGTGTAAATACAGGCGCCTGCCTTTGCCTGGTGTTGGGAACTAGAGAAAAGAAAGTGTCTGGCAACGCTTTGTCTTTTCACTGTATTTAACAGAGGGTTTATGTAGAGAGCATTTTTAAAATCTCTCAATCGCCATGCCCACCAGGGGTCTTGTTAAGTCATTTTCTGTGGCTGAAACGATGCGCTAACTTTGTAGAGATGAGCAGTGCCCAGGCAGTCGTCCTGCCTTTGGCTTTGATTGCCCTGAATTCTGACTGTTGAATGCTGAGTTTCCCATGAATCTGGAAAAGAACGGGCGTTTTTAGGAAGCATCTCTGTAAGATGGTGTGCGTGTGGTGTCCGTGGAGTCTTCAGAGAGTTGTCGTCGTGATGGATGATGGAGGAAAACAGGCCTGATTTTTATTAAACAGAGCATTATTTACAGAAAGCCATTGTTGAGAATTAGTTCCCACATCATATAAATATCCATTAACCATTCTAAATTGTAAGAGGACTCCAGTGTTGCTATGCGCAAGGCACTCTCCTGGGGCCTTTCTGCATAGCAATTAAAGGTGTGCTATTTGTCAGTAGCCATTTTTTTGCAGTAATTTAAAGACCAAAGTTCTTTTACAGCTGTGTTACCCTTAAAGGTTTTTTTTTATATGTATTAAATCAATTTATCACTGTTTGAAGCTTTGAATACCTGCAATCTTTACCAAGATACTTTTTTATTTAAAAAAATAACTGTGTAAATATTACCCTGTAATATTATATATACTTAATAAAACATTTTAAGCTATTTTGTTGGGCTATTTATGTTGCTGCGACGGCAGACTGCAAGCACATTTCTGAGACATTTTCTGTTTAATACATTTTTCTAGTTTTCAAAATTCTATGTCATAGAAAGGATGATTTTTTTTAAAAAGAACTTAACTGTTTAAGTATAATCAATATAGGAATCTTCTGAGTTTTAATCAGAAGTTTGAGACATATGCAGTGTGTGTTATTGGTTACTTTCCCACAATGGGGTGTAAACATCAGGAGAAACGGGTCCTGGGTTCTAGTACTGGCAGGACTGCTTCCAAGCGAAAGACCCCGGCAAAGCACTTAGCCTGTACCTCTGAAGCAAGATGAGGCTAGCCCCTGCCCAAACTGAAATGTATGGTTTTCCATTTTAACTTTTCCTCAGTTGAGTTATTTTATTGCAATTAAAAAAAAAACTCAAACTTTAGTAGGAGGTGCAGATCTTTTGGCCAGTGTAACCTGAAAATTCAGCTATTACAGCTGGAGTCTGGACCTCTGAGACAGTCAAGGAGCTGGGATTCTGCCATCTTTCAGCTTTTCCCTTTGTGAACTCCATCTGCCCCATTCCATGTAACACTAAAGGACCCAACAGCTAGGAGAACAGGATGGACGTATCAGTTGCGGGTCTCGTCCCCATGATGAAATACTTTGACAAACTCAACTGAAGGAAGAGAGGGTTGTCCTTGACTCACAGTTCAAGGTTGACAGTCCATCGGGTGAGGAAGTCATGGCATCCAGGTCTTGAGGAAGCTGGCGGCTTACCTCCGTAGTCGGGAAGCAGAGTTGCGGGTGAAAGCTATTGCTCCATTTCCTTTTCTCCCCATTCTTCTCAGTAGTTAGGATGGGTCTTCCTGTCACAGCCTAATCTAAATAATCCCTCTCAGAACAGACATGCCCGAGTCTTACCTCCTGGGTGCAGTTAGATCCTGTCACACTGGTGTTATTAACCTGCCACAGTGTACGTCTCTGAGTCACGGAGGCCAAGCATTTCTTGTTCTGATTTGGCCAGACTCACGTCCACATCCAGCCTGAAACAGAGGTCGTAGGCTGTGTCCACAGTGCATTAGCCCAGTTGGGAGTTGGAGAACAGAGGGTAAATTCTCTTGAAGCAGAACTGGGTCGTTACCAGACAATTAAAGTGATTAGATTCGAGGCACAGGTCCCCAGTCAGTGCCACATCCCTTCAGGTCCTTCTTACAAGTCTACATTACATGTGTGATTGTCGGCCATTTAAATGGAAAATAATATTTGGCAGCAAAGTACCGTCTTGTTCCCTACATCATAGGCAATTTAATTTTTATGTACTTAGGAGGACGTTTTCATTCTCAGCAGGAGTAACTAATGGAATTCAGAAAGCATTTAATGGCCTACCTCCTGCACTGAAAGCTGCCCCACGAAGTACAGAACTGTACTCAACCTGATTAGAACTCCCACTGAGGTGTAGGCTTCAAGTGGAACTGGGTTTCACTTTTGTGTGGCACCTTCCCACCCAAGGCCTTGAGTTTGACAACTTTACAAAACAATGGGCTGGGGTAATAGCTGAGGTTGCCCACTTGGTGGTGTTTGCTTTCAAACACCACACACATACACACACACACACACACACACACACACCACTTTGTTCTTTGAAACAGATTCCCCATCAAACTTGCTGTTTAGACCAGGCTTAGCTCAAACCTGCTTCAGTCTCTCATGTGCTAAAATTGAGGACCCACACCCAGCTGATTACTATAGAATGCTTTCAAGTTGTCTCAAGTACCTGAGAAATTCCTCCAGGTTGAAGGGACAACCTAGACACTAGCAAGCTTTCTTAGTAAAGGGTAGGAGAACTCAGTCTTGCTAAGAGCAGCTTGTCAGTCCCCTAACTTGACCTCCAACACCTCTCTGTAGGAATAGCTTCCAGATCACCTTAGGTGAGAGTCCTACATGGACTAACCTTGAACCCTACTTCCTAGACAACCCTTTCTAGGAAGGCTTCTCATGCTCTCCCAGGAGTTCCACCCCCAGCTCACTTAGGAGATTTTAGAAGGTGATGTTCATAATCCTCCCATTTGCAAGTTTGCAGAGGCGTATATTTGATACCTAAAGAAACCTTTACTCACCCCAGTGTTATTGTGCTCCTCTCACGGTTGCATGGGCTGGATAGATATATAATCTTTCGTTTGAGAATCATGGATTCAGTAGTACCAATGTCCTTCATCTGCCGGTTGATGGAAGTGGTTCTAGTAGCAACTATTGCTAACGTCACAGAACAGATTATCCTGGGTCAGGCTGCAGATGCCAATCCAGTGTACTTCTCCCCTACATGTGCAAAGTCCTAGGTTCGAATTAAAAGCCTCCTAGTTGAAAATACTTGAAGCATCCAAAGATAATACTTTTGCAAAGCTTCACGTTTCTGCTCAAAGAAAGCTGTCCAACAAACTATAGAAGTCTTATGCTTTAAGTCAACTGACAGTGGGACATTGAATTGCCTAAAAAAATATGTGCATTAAAATTATACAGTTTTTCCACATATATGTTTTTTAAAGCCGGACTTAGTAAAATTAAATGTTCTTGTATTTGTCTGCCTTGAAAAAATGTTAAATATGTATTTACATTCTTCAAGAGAAACATCTGACTAAAGGATTTGACTGGAATAATAAACCACATTCCATCCTTGGGCTTCTGGATACAATATTTTGTTGTTGTTGTTGTTGTGTGGATAGACTGGTATCTTAGGGTTACTATTGCTGTGATAAAAACACAATGACCAAAGCACCTTGGGGAGGAAAGGGTTTATTCAACTTAGCTTCCATAGCACAGTTCATCATCAAAGGACAGGAGCCTGGAAACAGGAGCTGACGTAGAAGCCAAGGAGGGGTGCTGCTTACTGCCTTGCTCCCTATGGCTTGCTTAACTTGCTTTATATAGAATCCAGGAACTCCAGCCTAGGGATGACCCCACCCACAATGGGCTCGACCCTCCCCTATCAATCACAAATTAAGAAAATGTCTTCAGCCAGATCTTATAGAAACATTTTCTCAATTGAGGCTCCCTTTTTTTCCAGTGACCCCGGCTTGTGTCAAGTTGACATAAAACTAGCCAGCACTACTAGACTTAGTAGCAAGCCTCGAAAGAGCAACTAGTTTCCTCATAAGCACTCAGTCCTACTAAGAAGGACTTAGAGGAGAATCTTCTTCGACTGGTGAGTCTCCAGGGAGGACACTCATCTGCCTGTGTATGTCTTAATGAGGCCCATGTTGCCACTCCTGGTTTCCTCATATGACTCTGTCTTGTTCCTCAAAGGACTGGAAAGTGACTTCCCATGATCATAGCCTCACTGGAGATGGATAGGTGGGTACAGAGAGAACAGAATGGTGCCAGGCTGACACCCCTGTGCACAGTCTTCTCCAGCTACGCTCCATACAACTGAGATCCAGAGGTTGAGAAATTCATTTGTAATGAACAGTTTGTTTTTCGTGTTTCCCCTAAGAGACAAAACCAGCACAGTTTCACTAGGTATAGAAAAGAAATTTGTTTTGTAATGAAATGAGGACAGGCTTCCTGAATTCACACTTTCTAGGACCATAGATGCTGTCTAGATCAATCCACCTTGTTCCTCAGGGGCATTTTAATTCTTCCAGCTGGAAATTAAAAAGAAGGGATGGTCTCTCTTGGCAAAATGGGAGAGAGCAGCATGTGTTTTTCAAAAGACTTGGTAAGAGAACAGATTTCTTAAAAAGCTATTGCCTGGACTAACTGACTGATAATTTCAAAGGACCTTTTTAAAATGAAATCTTTGTAGGCAATAGTAAGGAAACGTAGAACTCCCTGTGGTGATGTTTAGAGTTCTGTCAGGGATTTAAATCTAATTATTAGCCTGGAAGTAAAGAAGAGAAAGACCTGGCCAAGTGTCAAATAGAAAACAGTAATAGCCATGGTGGTGCACAGAAGCCCAGTTATTAGTGCCATAAAGGATGGTTCATCGCATACGTTACTGCCCTTGGAGGAAGGCCACGGCAGCTTCAGTGTCTCCGATAATAGTTGCTTTATGTGTGGAAGACGGATGCTTCCTATGTTCCCATCTCCTGAGCATCTCATGGGAGTCCTTGCTGTGTGGGTGTGACATGCACAGTGAGGGTTCCAGGGCCCTGTATCCCCCCAGCTGTGTCACCTTGTACAGTTATCTTCTCTGTGCCTCTCCATTTACAAGTGAAGATTAAATATGAGGTTCGGTGAGAAGCGGTATAGTTTACACACTACCAGGCTCCATGTAAACCCCCCAAAAGTGGAAGCAATTTCCTTTCTTCCTCTTCTTGTTTATCGGCCATGGCCGAATCTAGCAATGAGCACACATACACTGAAGTCTGTATGGCTTTGCTGTTACTGGCGAAGAACCAAGTAGGACAGGAGTGACCGTCGGGATAAACCACCGTCACGGCTTAACTTAAACACCAGTCCCAACCCCAATATGCTGGCTAGTGAACCCAGCGGCCGGAAGGAACATTAGGCAGCAGATAATTCTTCTTATACTTGAATGCAAAGAACTGAGGAAGGAGAGGCCCATTGCTGTGATACAGGGAGAGTACTTGGGCCTCCACTTCCGCCAGCAGCACTCAACCTAATTTATTCCTTCACACCAGTGACTGATTCTCAAGACTTCTGAAAAATATGTGAAGAGCGGATCCTCCAATCATGCTAGACAGAATGTGATTAAGAACACGGAGCTGTCTTAGCCTAATAACCAGCAGAAACCAAATCAGAGTGTATGGGAGTGGAGCTACATATTGAAGAAATTGAAGCCTCATTATACTACTTCACAAATGGAAGCATTTATGGCTGCAAGTTTTGCTGAGGTTTCAGTTACACAGAAATCAGCCTGCTCCCTTCTCCGAAAATGACTGACACCTTTGCTCCATCCACCCTCTCGAGTGCATCGGGGAGCGAGGAAAGGCACCTAGGGAGCTGCCGTGGGCTGGAAGTGGCTTCTGTTTACTTTTTTTCTGCCTATTTCTATGGCCAGGGGTGGTGCCCAGGTCAAGTAGGACTAAGGCATCATGTTGGCAGCGTCCCTCAGCACAGCATAGAACTTGTTTTAGAAGAGTGCTTGACTCATAGGCCCACATTCCATGTGCAGCATGGTTTTCTGTTGCGCGCTCGAGGCTTACAGCACTGTGTACCGCCCGTTGAGAAGAAGCTGAACTGCCCTATGTCAGTGTTTGGCCCCTAGCTCCCGGTTTGGACAGGCTGTTAGGAAGAGTCTGTGGCTCATGGTACGCTAAGAGATGCTTCGTAGAACAGAGAGTGATGCAGAGAGCCAACCACAGTACCGTAGTCATAACAAAGGGTGGCCTCTTGTGTCCTCTGTTGGGAACATGGCAGTTCTAATGTTCCAAATGGAGTGTTACACACATTTCCCTCTCGTGTCTTCCTCCAAACCTATCACTCATTCCTTTCCTCCCAGAAACAGGAGTGGACTGTGATAAAGTGGCTTTATCAGGGAATTCACAGCGAGAGGGATGTGCCCATCAGCAAGAATATAAAAGCACTGGTTCCAAGCGGAACTAATGACGGAACCATCTAGATAAACACGGAACTAACTGCATTCAAGCAACATTAGCAAGAATGTTCTACAGGAAGATAGAAGTCAACGGCATTAATGAGAATTAAGCAATATCTCACTGGAATTAGTAAATAAATATCTATATGCATAGTTAAAAGTGAGTCTGAATTATGTTATACTCCTTCTGAGCTGTTTAAATCAAGGGAGTCTCATGTGAAATGAGAAAAAAATCAACTCAGGGCTTTTTATCTTCTGCATTTAATCAAGATTCGTCATCTCGGGCTCTTAAAACAGGTGGTAGTGGGGCTGGACTCTCCTGCAGACGTCCTCTGTGTGTCGGTGCCCAGGCCTGTTGATCTCCGCTCTGGATAAAGTGTCCAGAGCTGTGACTGTGACACTGTTTCTGGAGTGAAGAGGTGGCTCAGTGGGGAGAGTGCTTACTGTGCCACAGTGAGGACCAGCACCCACATGACATCCGGGTACAACAGGAGGGGACACAGACATGGGCTGATCCTTGAAGATCACTGAAAAGCAACTTGCGGATTCCAGGTCTCTCAAAGCCGATGAAGTGGAGTTCTCCAGAGGACGACACTGATTTGGCTTCCAGCCTCCACATATTCTGATATACACATGCAAACACACGTACATCCACCTGCATACAAACACAGCAAAAGAAAAAAAAATGTAAGCTATCTCTTCTGTACCCTTCAGTCTGTGGCTCTGATGAAGAAAAGCACCCTTTTGAGCTACAACTGCAGCTAAAATGATTAGCATGGCGTTTCTCTGCCAGTAGGCACACCCTGGGAATGCCCAGCAAAGAATTCACTTGATACCTTTGCTTTTGCTTAGAGTTTTGTGATAATCTTAGTGCTGCAGTGCGCATTCGTTCAGCATCAGACTCCAGAGTTTCCCCCCAGCTGCTTTGTCTACTTGTCTTACCGTGATTCATTTTCTAGGCTGCTTCCTTTCCGTCTCCTTCGTGAACTTAAGCACCAAGGGTGATACCCGTGTTGACCTTTGCAAAATGACAGAAAGGTGAGTAGGTGGCAGGACGAGGTGGGGAGACGTAGACCTCCCTCTTCCTTCCATCCTGGAAAGCTCAGAGCAGGAGACGAACAAGACCAGGAGCAGGAGGGGATACTGCTTAGCCCTAGAGAGTCACATGTTTGGCCCTCACCAAATCATTCCACGTGTGTTTCCCCTTTTCAGGGCTATTTCCCGCACTGGTGGATAGAGAGGCGAGATGGCCTGCCGAATACCGTAAAATCCCAGAAAGGTGGGGCGAGACAGAAATCAGTGTCACCTCATATGTCGCTGTTAATTGCATCGACTTCATTCCTGTCATCTTTATCCCACGCATTCCCCTCCTCCATTGAGCGACTCACTCTCCCTGGAAATGACATTATCAGCAATCGTGCCCTGTGTTGGATAGACTAAAAGAGACTGAAAATACAGGCAAAATTGGGGTTCTTCCAAGACAGAATGTAAAACTTTAGAGGGTTTTCATACCTTCTGTATACACTAAACCCCTCATTTTTTAACACATAAAAAAAAACAAATAAAGGGATAACATCCTTTTTCCTTTTGTAGCCATGCTTTGAATTTTGTAAGGTGCAGTTATGGCAAAAACAAAATGTAAACAAGGACTAGAAAATTCTTACGCAAACACAACTAGGCCTCAAACATAACTTTGCTCTTGGTTAAACTGCAAAGAGAAGCAGCTCTTCATTTGGGCAATTGTTAGTCATCGCTTCGAAATGTCAGATGGAAATAAAACTCAGGCACACCCATGCATGGGAGCCGATGTCAGATGATGTGGCCAGGGAATTTCCGACAGGCAAGGGGCAAAGGGAATTTTGGATTCAGTTAATCAAATGATGTCTTCGTTCTGCTTCTAATTTTCCTTGTAAATTCTTGCCTCTGCTAATCTAGCAGAACAGCAAACCTCTCTCTCACTTTGGCATTCCCCAGTTCATAAACTGCTTCCTATTCAAATGAACTCTACGGTTTTATTGTACTTCAGGTAATTCGTTTACACATAAAAGTGTCTAATGAGACATAATGGGGAACTCAACAAATTGTACTCACTTCCCCTACCACTCACAAAGAGGAAGAGAAGAAAAACCTACATCCACACCTTCTCCCATTTCTTAATGTTTTTATACTTACTTTTATTTAACGTGTATGTGTTTTCACCTGCATGTATGTGTGTGTGCCAAGTGCATGCCTGGTGCATTCAGAGGTCAAAAGAGGTCATTCAGAGGTCAAAAGAGCTCTCCTGAAATTGAAGTTCTGGATGCTTGTGAGCCCACCATGTGGATCTTGAGAACCAAACCCAGGTCTTCTACAAAAGTAACAAAAGCTCTTAAATGCTGAGCCGTCTCTGTAGCCCCTCCCATTTCTTAATTATTTTACGGGTCATGTTGGATAGAAGTCGAACTTTCTAATATTAGAAAAAGGAAAGATGACTTATTCAGCTCCAAACAACTGTTCACAGTCCAGAGATCCCAGAACCAAGATGAGTTCAAGGGCAGCTTTCTTGGGTAAATGCTTCACCAACAGTGAACAATGGGCCCATTCGAATCCCCAGAAACCCAAAGACCTCTAGGCTCTGAGAAGGAGGAAAAGTCTTTGGGAAGTGGAACCCACAATCTGGATTCCTGGCAATGACCTTCCTTGTTGCCAATGACAGCCACTCAGCAAACAGAAAGACAGGCACGGTCATGCCCAAGCCAGGTCCTCACGTCTCATAGACACCATGGGCACATATTGCTCACAGCAAACAAACTCAGGAACAGAATGGTTTTGTTTTGGCTAGATGGAAAGAGAAACAAATCTCTCAAAATCTGTTTAAACCCTCACCACTACACCCCAGTCACCCCAGATCTTCAAGGTCTTAGGGCATTTCCCCCGACTTCAGCTCTGAAGTTCAGCTGTTTACTCTGTTTGAATCATGACTGTACTCCAGGGAAGGCTGGCAGACCCTGAATATCCATGGTGTTGGCAGGGGCCACTCAATGTACCATCCAGTGTCTCGTTCCATCGCTAGTTGATGAGCTGCAGGCCTGTAATAGGCGTAGGGCTTCCTGCATCTGTCTCATCCAACTCTGCTCATCAGTCACCTCTGCCGTGTGCTCAGTACTCCAGGGCTGCAGGCCTTTCCTTCTCATGACCTCAGGTAGAGGTCAGGAGTGGTTTAGGAAGAAACCAGGGTCCCAGCCCTACCTCAGTTGACACAAAAAAGGAGGAGGGGAAGTCTGGTGGATAAAGCAGATATCGCTTCCACCCAGGCTGCTTTTGCCCAGAGGAAATCAGGCTTAATCAAGTGCAAAGGCATGCCTTCCTGATCATTCAGGGTCAGTTTGAAGAGGCCAGAATAGCTTCAGAAAGACTCAGCAAAGACTCTTTGACATTTGGAGGACTGTGTACAAGATGGCATGCAAATAGGGTATAGGCATGCAAAGTTGTTTGAATTAATATATATATATACATACATACATATATACATTCATTCATATGTATATATTTGAATATTAAAAGAAGTGAAGTTGAAAAACAAGTAGCAAAAAAGAGAAGATCCTGCATTTTAAAACAATTCCTAATTTCAAACTTCTATGAAAAATTAAACCAACAACAAAAATGCAAGACTTGGCTGTACTGGGCCTGCATGACCCCTCCCCCAGTGCTCAGCGGTAGTTGCATAGCTTGGCCGGTTGGTAAAAGTGATGATCTCCATGGGTCCTTCCTCACAGTTGCAATTTGAGCACATATTTCAGTGTTGTGCTTATCCTAAGTACAGAAGTATTACTCTGTGCCTCTGAATCTACAAAATTTGAGAAAACAAAGCACATACCCACAGGGGCTCTCCCAGCCAGCATCATTTTGGAAGCAAGAATAATGCTAATGCTTACTGAACAAACCCCCAGCACTCTAGGCTCATTTACATTACCTACACTGGCTTCTACTGGTTCTGTTTTTTGCTTCTCTCTGGGAAAGTTGGAGGGTAGAAATCGGCAGACAGTCTGCAATTGTTCCTCCAAACCCTTCCTCCTCCGTGGGTCATGGTGGGATTACATTGGCATCGGTGTAGCAGCAGTTCTAGAATCCTCCTCAGCCCTTGCTTGCTTCATTGCCTGCAGCAAACTTAGCCAACCTCAGCCATTGGTGCTCCAAGGGGTGGGATTTGGGAAGCTAACCTTTAGCTTGTTTGCTTGGAAGGATAAGAGCATGCGTAGCTATTTCTGTCTCTTCCCCTCGTTCACAGACATAAGGAAATACAGGCTCAGACAGGCAAACAATTTGCCCAAAGGGTGGAAGTGGAGCACCTGCTGCTCTCGATGTGAACTTGTCCTTGCTTCCTTTCCTGGGAAGGACAAGGAGATTCCCTAGTGGTCCCCTTCCCTCTTCTCCCAGTCTGCCTGCAGTGTGTGCACCAGCTAGCTCCTCCATCTAGCGGGTGGAGCGAGGCACACAGAGGAGCCAGGTGGCTGCAGCCTGATGAGGTGGCCACCGCTAGCACCGCTAGCACAGCCTGACCATGCAAGCCAGGTCTGAAAGTCCTGAGGAGAACACCAGTTGCCTGGGAACAGGAACAACTAGAAGCCACCTCCCTTTTCTGCTTCCGGCTCCGCTGTTCTGCCTGGATCCCAGCAGGAAGGGCTGGAGACGGAAATGAATACACTTTCTGGAGCTGCCGTGTGGCTTAGACCAATTTACTGAATTAGTAATATCACAGCACGTGGAGGGTGTGCAGTAGCCCCTGCCCACTCTTAGGTATGGTCCCAATTTCCACGGTTTCAGTTGCCCCTGGGCAACTCTAGTCTGAAAATGCTAGATGGGAAACTTCAGAAATAACAAAAATTCAAAGGCTTGAAATTGCTCACGGTCCTGAGTAGCGTAATGACATCTTGCAATATCCTGCTCGTGACTGAATGACCCCTTTGTCCAGGGTTTCCAAGCTATACACATTACCTCCCGTTGCTTAGTAGCTACTTGTGTTGCTTGACTAAGGGCTATGGTATTACAGTGTTTTGTTCAACGAATCTTACTGTGGGCAGCCTCGCTCACGTACTGCACTACCCTCGTCCTCTCCTCTCACGTAAGCACACAAGGTTTGACCGCTGTGTTGCTCTGTTATTATCTATTAGTCTCTTACTATGCCTTCTTTATAAACTTTCTCCTAGGTGGGTTTCAGTGAGAAGAAAACCCATACATGATTGAGTACTATCTGGGACTTAGTGCATCCCCTGGGGATGAGATGCTAATAGTGTGCACACATCCTCAGAAAAAAAGAAAACCCACACGATTGTTACTAGTAGTGATGAAGTACAGGGCAAGCAGAGAACTCTGGGATTTTTCTCACTAGTCACCGTCACCAGGTCTATTTGACGAGCACATACTATGTGTTAGGTTCTTCGACAAACACAGACAATCCACAGCCCCTGTCTATGGCCATTCAGGCCACAGATGCTTCTTTGCTGTGTGTGTGTGTGTGGGTGTGGGTGTGTGGGTGTGGGTGTGTGGGTGTGGGTGTGTGAATCCTATCAGGAAGACGATCTGAAGGTGTCTCAAGGCTTCAGTGCCTGCAGCCCTAAGTCAGGTGGAAACATCCTACTATCAGCTGAACGTTTGCATCCCTCTTCCAAAGTCAGATTGAAACCAAACCCCCACTATGATGACGCTGGGCCTGTGGTCTCAGCGATGGGGAGTTAGACTGGGTCGTAAGGGTGGGGCCTTTCTGACAGCTGTCTACAAATCAGGAAGGAGGAATAACCAGACACAAGAACTATTGCACCTGTGTCTTCCCAACATCCCAAAAGTGAGAAATAAATGTGTGTGCTTTGAGCTCCATAGTTCACATGACACTGATTCAGCAGCCTGAGTTAATATGACCCATAGGCATTCTATGGGAATGAATTCACATAGCAATAGCCCAATAGAATGACCAGTAATTGAAAGTGCCCTTTAGAAATCCGAGACAAAATTTCTACCCAGCGTGTAGGCTGATGGAAGCTCACTCCTGGCTCCAGAAGTTGTTTGCAATAGTTCCTAAAGCTTCTACCGGATCCTAACGTTCTGTTGAGTGCTTGGAATTTGTATCGTTCCTTTATGGCTCACAGCACACTGGAAGATTCTTTCAGACACATTTTATCCACGAGTCAGACAGGATTTGGAGAGGAGGGAAAAACGCTATCCAAGGTCACCCTGTTGATAGCAGACGGTGGCAGACTTCAAGTCAGTTCCTCTGACTCAGAGCTCCACTCTGTTCCCCGCAGTGCCAAGGAAAGCTGCCTGGATTTCAGACCACTCAATCTCCCTTGGCTTCTGGGAAGCAGTTTACACCAGCTGCAAGCATGCTTTCTACAGTTGTCTGCTTGGAGAGTGTACCAGAGTGACTTCCTGCGGCCTCATCTTCCGGAGGACGGACGGACAGACCTGGTGGCAGTAAGAGCAGATTGACCCATTTAGACTTGACAGCTACATTCTGACACATTGAAAAACGAATACATAAACAGTGAAATTTACTATAGGGTCAAAGGGGGACAAAAAGAGGCATCTACTAAACCCAGCATGTACCTTAAAAGTCAGTGTATAATTTCAATGTGGTGGTTTATTTTATATTATTTTTTTTTTATTTTTTCCTTTCTCCCTATCTCTTTTTCTCCATGAAGAATCATTCAGTTTCAGGTCAGGAGAATTAAAAAATTGCAATTAAAATAATTGTATATCCCAAAGATCAATGACATCTTAGGAAGAGAAACTGAAGCAATGTCTGACCAGAACATCAATACCTGGCGTGCAATATGATTTCAAAATATGCTTGTTAGAAGAACAAATACCTCAGCAAAATAGACACCCAAGTTTTTCATTAGAAAAACTGTCAAACAGGTTCTGAAGAATTGGATGTGTGCTTTGTGCAGCTCTTGTATTCTGAATGCATGGGCTGGCTCACCTCCCCTGTCCCCATCCACAACCTCTCTGCTCCAGATAAATTTTGAAGCAAATCCCAGCTGTCAGGGCCTCTCGTTAATAAATATTTGGGGCTGTATCTGTAAAAAGTAATTTTAAAAATGCTGTTGCAACATTAACATACAACCATAACATCATCACCGGTCCCTAAAATGGATATTAATAAATCCTTCCATAGCACTGTAATATTGCCCTTTTTCGCCTATTCCTAACCTCTATCATTTTTCCTTTTTGAAGTTATTTTTTTTTTTGAGATCCAAATAAGTCCCACACTCGTTTCCCTGTTCGTTGTTGTTAAAGAAGCCAGGTCTTATGATGAGGAGAGAGTCCCACGTTGCGGCTTCACTTCCTTGAACCTGTGCAACATTAGCAAATACATGTCCTCTTCCCCCATGGTTCCTGTATGTGAGTATCGGCTGTTGTAAGGATATGCATGGCTAACTGTGTGTGTGTGTGTGTGTGTGTGTGTCCACGTCTGTGTGCGCACACCATGCATCTGACAGGAGGTGTGTAATGCCTGGTTGTTGTTCGGTATTGCTGATTTCTTAGCTTTCCTCATAATCAGTACTTTTGATATGGCTACCTACATTCTAAAACTACCCCAGATATCCCTTACAATGGTGAGGTCGAGATGCTAGCTATGCCTTCCGTTCGGAATTTGATGCTTTCAATTACAAGGGAGAATGATACCTTCTGTTCACACCTCAGCATGCTCTGCGGTGACAAGCATAGTGGGTTCACAGAACCACATTTAAGCCAAACAACATCATGCGAACCTTTATTTCAGGTAACCAGAAATAAAGAGGTGGCAGAGACTGCAAGAATTTCTGTAACAAAACCTTTGCTCACCGTTCTGAGTGTACAAGACGAGCGAATACCTGAACACATAAAACAAAGATACAGTGAGTGACTGCAAGTAGCCCCCGGTCAGCAGTCATGCGCAAGGCCGTCAGTGGTATAGCACATCTCGTAGGGTTTCATTATTTTTAACACAACAAAGGAGTTGTCGTATGGAAGCATCAGGCTCCTCCTTCTCCAGACACAATCTCCTTCTGTGTTCATCTTGAGAGAGCCTGTACACACCTCCCTAACTTACCATTATATCCCATTTGGCAAGTTAAAACTCATACATGCCATGTATATGTATAGTAAAAAGTGTGAAAGGCTTGTCCTAGGCATTTAGGGAGAGAGTCGTGTCTGTGAGCAGATATAGAAACCTCAGCAGGGTCAGAGGCAGTTGTAGAGGCCTTGACTGTGTCTCTGAACATTCCCATCCTTTTGTCTGTACCCACGATTTCCCCTATTTATATAACTAATTTCATCACATTTGGTCTGCATACTACAAACCTCCTACTGCAGGAGATACAGTAGGGCTACACAAATAGAGCGGGAACTTTCTAATAATGTTTGGCTCATCACAAGTTAGTTTTCATTATGTAAATGCGACCTGTAAGTGTGTAAGCACATGTGTATAAGGTGGCATAGACAGATAAGAGCACACATTTTCTTTGAAACTAAGGTTTAAACACTATCATTGCTGTGAGGTGCGACATATCTGACACTGTCTTTTCTGTTCTACTTCTTTGTACAAAAAAAATAAAATAAAATAAAAATGCTGGTTGTGACCC